AATCTGATTAAAGGTTAATATATAAACACAGAATGATGGGAGTCCAGGTAAGTCTGAGCAGCAGCACAGGTGTCTGGATCCCCCAGCCACGTGGCTGTAGTTCGGGGTACCAGTGTCCGCCCAAGCTTCCTTCCTGCTGGGGATCCTGACTCCCCATCTAATGCAGCTAGGTGAGGGAAGGGTCATGAGCTTGTCCAAGCCCAAGGTATGAGAATTTCCTCTATTCAGAGACCATCCTGGGGACGGATCTTGGACGATTCTGAGCATGCACAGAATTATGCCTCCATCCACGCTGTCATCTTGACAAATCCGAGAGCCAGAATGGTGTGTGGATCATGCCAGATTGGGCCGCAATACCAGCCAGTTCACATTAGGGCCAGGGGCTGGCTGGGCTGGCTAGGCTGTAGTCCCTACCAGCGTGAGCTGGAACCGGGAGTGGGCCAGGTTAGGCCAGGCTACAGCACCCACTGGTAATGCCAGCCTGGGTCAAAGTGCCCAACCAACATATGTGAAATCCAGGGGAGAGTGAGCGAACCCCGTAGGTTAGTTGCAAGGAGCTCCCCTGCTGGGCCACTATTCCCACAGGTGAACGTGAGAGCAGAAAGTGGGGGCAGATCAGGCCAGGCAGGGGTACAACCCCTGTTAGCCTCATATGAGCTGGATCAGGGGAAAGTCAGGCTGGATCCACTGCACCTCCTGGTGCATGCATAAGCCAGAGGGGGTGAGGGTTGGTTGGGCTTTGCTGCAGCATCAGCTAGCAAATGCTGGCATAGACGGAAAACTGTCGAGCTAAACTGCAGTACCACCTGGAGAATGTAAGATCCAGAGGTGGGAGTGGGCCCAGTAGGGAAACATCAGGCACCTCCTTCTTGGGTTGCCACTCCAACTGGTGAGCATAAGAACCAGGAATGGGACAGGCATGGCTAGACAGAGAATGGCACCCACCAACATGTGTGTGGGCTGGATAGTGGAGCTGGCTGGGTTGAACTAGGCTTCAAAGTCCATTGACACACATGAGAATTGAATGGGATGTGAGACGGACAAAACCAGTCTGCTGTACATACTGGCAAGAGTGAGAACCAGGATAGGGGCGGGTCTGGCGGAGGTTACTGTGGGTCGCCCTGAATAGGCTACAACTCCCACTGGTTTGCATGGGGGTTGAGTGTGTGGTGAGTAGGATCGTGCTGGACTGCAACACCTATTAGTTTGCGTAGAAGACAGGGCTGGAGACAGAACTGACCTAGCAAATGCAACTAACAATATGTACAAAGGCCAATTTGGGCAATGGACTGTGTTGGACCCTGTATTGGCAAGCACACACAAAAATCAGGTCTGGGATCACCTCAGATGAAGTTTCTTTGGGAATTTCCCCAACTGAACTGCTGGACTCAGAACTCCAACCATGGAGAAAATTGCAGGTTCCACAGTCTGACCATGGAATGCATACGTCAGAGCTGGGTCTCCTCTTAGCTAGACTTAGCTGGAGCAAAGACAGCATATCCAGAAACACATGGATGATATGGCAGTACACTGGATCCTGCAGAGGACACCTGGTACCATAACAGAGGATGGAGGACAGAACAAATTCATCAACTACCCCAACCAAGTGTTAGCAGTGAATACCTGGGCAAATGGAGTCTCTAAAGTGAATTTAGTCAGCCAGCGGAGTCTGGAGAGATTTCATTGTAATTGGAGTGGCAAGATCGGCAGCAATTAAAAATTGTTGAACTATCAAAATCACTTGAGCAGGATGCTCGGAACATGCCCCACATCGGGGACCCTGGGATGGTTGGGAGACTGGTTGTGGCTTCTCCCCTTATCTCCACCCTCCCCACAGATACAGGTCGAAAAGAAGAAACAATGGTCTCACTCAGTTTCCTCTAACCCTTGACCCTTTGCACCCAATCAAATATGTAAAAATTATCAAAAATAAAATTTATACAATTAAAAAATAAAACAAAAAAGAAAAATAAATGCATGATATCTTTCTTATTTTAAAATATGTTCACAAACATAACTGATTTTTAGACAATTATTTAAAGCACTGAACTAAAATGAATTGCTTACTTTCAGAATTAGTGAGCCCTTCATTAACCAGTACTGCAGGATTTTTGGTTACCGTAACTACTTGATACAACTTTATCATAATCATAAACCAAGCAATTCTAAAAATAGCTTTCTACCACATTCAAGTTTTATGATCACTAAAATTGAGCTTTATTATAGCACCGTAGTGAAGAGGGCAATCAGACGTCCCACATGAGAAAAGAAGGTATTGACAGAGTAAGCCTGAAAATTTCGCAGTATGACAGTACATCACGCAGTATAGATTGGTTAAAACTTGCATTCCTCCTTATCACAATAAAACATAAAAAATGTCATAATAGGTCAATTCAGTTTTTCATCCCAAGTCAGTTTCCTATTTTTCAAAGTGAAATCAAACTACATTTGAAGAGACTATTTCACTTACTTCACACAGATGTTATCTATTATACACAACAAACATCTTTGAGGTTCACTTAAAAATAATAAAGAGAAAGGGCTATTAAAAACATAATACTGAACAGACTCTAGGATCAGAAATACTAAAATCAAATCTTAATTCTGCTTCTTATTAATTGCTGAACCTTGGCACAATCATTTAACCTTTCCATGATATTGCTTTCATGAGTGAAACATTCTAATTTATACAATCAAAGGGATAACTAAATTCAGTAACTCATTAAAGGGTTATTTTGCTTGGGAAATTTAGGTAAGATCATAGTGGTTATAATAGATTGGCAGAGCAAGAGTGAAAATAAAATACTTTGGAAGCAAAGAAGATTAATTTAGACACAAATGATGTTTCCTTGAATCAGAGTGGTAATCGCAGAGATGCTGAAAGTGATCAGAAGTTCCTTTCATATATTTTTTTCTAGGTAAACATTTATCATTTGTTTTAAATAGTCTCTTATCAAGAAAAAAAAAAACAAGATTAACAGTGCTTTAAAAAATCTGTACTGAGTGGTTGGCGTTGTGGTACAGTAGGTGAAGTTGTAGCCTGCAATGCAGGCATCCCACCTACAGACAGTTCATATTCTAGCCGCTCCACTTCTGATCTACCTCCCTGCTAGTGCCGAGGAAAGCAGTCAAAAATGGCTCAGATGCTTGGGCTCCTGCCTTCCAGCAGCTGACCCAGAAGCTCCTGGCTTTACAAGGGCCCAACAATGGCCATTGTGACCATTTGGGGAGTGAATCAATAGATGGAAGATAATGTCTCTTTCTTTCTCTCTCTCCATAATTATTTCAAGTAAATAAGCAAATCAATTAAACAAACTCTACATGAGGTTTTTCTATATTAAAATAGGATAATTTGTTTTATTCAATTTATTGTACAAATCAATAAACGAATTTATAAAAGCAATATTGCTTTGAACTTCTTCCTTTTTACCTTATTTCCTCTTTATCTTCAAATAGCTTCTGCTATTGTATGTGCCTTCGTGAAGAATATGCTATTTTTATAGAAATGTGTAGAATTCTATAAAATTTATGCTGAAATATTAACACTACTAAATTACTTCACAGCATCCCAATTTTCCACCTTATTTTTTTGATTAATTACTAACCGTAATAGTTGATTCACCTATTTTTTCTCAGTCCTCTGAGCCCATACTTGACGTTATTTGTGGCTATGCTGTTGGATGCATATATTTACTACTTCATGCTCTTCAAACTGGACCCATCATTATTGTGAAGTATTTTATAACTAGTATTATTATCTACTTTGTAGTCTACTTTTGATCATATTAACATAGTTAATACAGCTTTATTATGATTAGCACTTGCACAATATATCTTGACTTGCCTCCCTTTTTTTTTACATTTACAGTATCTGTCTTTGCATTTAAGGTGCATGTTTGTGGTGTCTGGCATAGAGTTTAAACTACCATTTGGATCCTGGAACTACTGTGCATCCTAGCTCTCTGACGCTGTGCGTCCTGCGAGTCAGCAGGGCAAGGCTCAGTACTTGTATCCCTAGCACTCACATGAGACACTCAGACTGAGTCCTCAGCTACTGGCTTTGGTCTTGCCCAGCCCTGGGTGTTCTAGGAACTTGAGAAGTGATGGGAGATCTTTCTCTGTCTTTCAAATCAACAAAAATAAAGTAGATATCTTATAGACAGCAGGTAGTTGGGCCATGATTTTGCACATAATTAATTTGTCTTTCATTTACAACATGAAGTCCTTTTACATATTAGTTACCCTTACAGCTAGATTTAAGCACATTATCATGTTATTTGTTTTACACTTACCCATCTGTTCTGTTTTCTTCTTTTTGATGATAATAATTGTCCAACATTCTCTCTTACATCATCTCTTTCATATTAGATAATTTTGCTTTAGTACCACTACAAACCTACCATGGAACAGTAGACTTTTTTCTAGGTCAACTCAATAACTTTACAGCACAGTGTACTTGTACTTTCTACTCAAATAATTATGGACAGATTCAAGGTCACATCCTTGGGACAACAAGGAAGCAAAAATGCTGATAAACATATATCCTCAAAGGTAAATTTACTGATCTTAAAGATAGCTTTTTTATATATAAGAAATGTACTTTTGTTTAAAAAAAATATGGTGTAGGGCCTGGCGCAGTAGCCTGGCAGCTAAAATCCTCGCCTTGCACATGTACATAGAGGTGGTGTTTCTAATACCAGCTGCTCTGCTTCCCATCCAGCTCCCTGCTTGTGGTCTAGGACGGCGGTCAAGGATGGCCCAAAGTCTTGGGATCCTACACACGTGTGGGAGACCCAGAAGAAGCTCCAGGCCCTTGGCTTCAGATTGGCTCAGCTCTGGCCACTGTGGCCACTTGGAGAGTGAATCAACAGATAGAAGATCTTTGTCTCTGTCTCTCCTCCTCTCTGTATATTTGACTTTCCAAGAAAAACAAATAAATTTTCATATGTATATATATATATATGATCCATTACCAACTATTTAGAACAAAGCACACTTACTTTACTGTAGCACTTAGAAGCAAGCTCAGCTGAGGCATGAGCAGGCTGTCTGGGGCTGACAGGTAACGATCAAACTGAACCTACATGGGAGAGAAATGCAAAGTATAAAGTGAGTGCATTTGTTACCGAACAGTTCAAATGTGACCATCTCTATTAAGGATTATATTTTAGGAAAAGTCCCGTATTGCAATGCTCATTTTCCAAATGAGTATTTTCTAATAATTTTAATTAAAACATTATTTTAAATTACTAAAATATAAGCAATTCCATTTTTAGAATTCTGAATTCAAAATATTAATTTTAACATCCTTCACTACTTTTATTGAGTTATCAGATTTCAAGTCTACATTACCTCCCTGGATTTACTGTATTTGCTAATGTGTTCATTAATATATTCACTCAGTATTTCTGAAATACATATTATTAGAGAAGTCTCAGGCACTGAAAACACAGTAATTGAAAAACAGGACAACTTCTTGATTCACAGAACTTACAGTCCAATGAAGCAGGTTATAAACAACTAACAATGTAAATAACTATATAAACTGCAAACTGTGAAATGTTATGAAATAAAATTCAAGGTATTATAAAATGTAACTGGGAGCCTAGTCTGGTGCCTGGCAAGCACATAGTTGAGGAAACTGAGCTTATGTTGGAGTGAGATCCTAAAGATGAACAGACATTAAGCAGAGGAAGAAGGTTCTGGGAAAGGACTGCATGTGGAAGGAGACTGGAGGTAAGAAGGAAAATGACAAGTAATGTAAGGATCAGATCTCATAGGACTTACATGCCTTTCTGAGGATTTCAATTTCTCATCAAGTCATCAGCATGCTATTCTAGCAGCAGAGTAAGCTAAGTTTTAAGACTGTAAAGCTGGAATGGAAGACATTAATTGTCCATACAATTGTATCTGCTGCAGACTGCAGGGCAGTCAATGTGGGGAGAATTTGAGATACATTTAAGAAAGTCAACATGAAATCTTTATGACTTGCTTACTGGCAGGATGAAGAACCTGACTGCCAAATATTAAATTTATATAACTTAATTCACAATATTGTTATGAGACAAATATATTTACAATGTATTTATTTTGCCAAATAGGAACTGCATGCCTTTTGTATTACATCTATTTTCACCCTAATCCTCAGCAATGTATTGATCAGTAATTGTTGAAATGACAAATGGACAGATGTTGTTACCACTTTGTGTATTATGAAAACCTAAAAAAGGACATGAGCTAGAATGGGGCAGGCTAAGATTTGGATATGCAGAATTGAAGTTCCTCTGGAATCCTAAGTGGAGGTACCATACAGTTGGACATAAGATTATGAGTTAAACACAAAGCTTAATCTGGATTACACACTTAAATTACCTGCTCAACATTAAGACGAGGCACATAAGAATTTTAATGGGATTTAGAAGTATTATGTAGGTTAAATTATGGATTGAACATGTATCTAGACACAAGAAACAGAGGGAACAATGCATTTATTTAGTGCTAATACAACTGCTCTTTGTTTTAACATGTCTTTACTTGAGGGTAAATATCTTGAAATGCAATCACTAAGTTATATGGCAAGCTTCTATGTCATTTCCTAGGAAAGAAAAATCTTAATCTAAAAGTCATTCCTTTTGTTTCTATTTGAACTTTTTCACATATTTTCTTTGAATTTCTATTGTTTTTGCTGTTAGCATTTTTGGTATTGAGAAGTTATGATGTTTCGGTGTACAGTGTCACTTTGACATGATGTTCCTATTCAGTTTTTCAATTCTCCTTACTTAATACTAAGACAATCGGCTCTGCCTTTCTTGAATTTGTAAGGTATCATGTGGGTATATTCCTTTATGTTCACTTAAATTTAACTCTGATAAATGACATAAGAAAGCTCTGGCATTCAAAAGATCCTAGAGAATATTTTTGAAAGTCAAATCATTGAGATTCTAAGTATGTATATTTTAAACACATACAATAGGCAATATACTACAGCGACATTTCAAAGAAGTTTGTGAAAACTGAAATTAAGTCTATCTTGATGAGGAAAAAATTTTAAATCCACATATCCAAGAAATTTACAATGTACATAATGGAAACTCATATAATGACAAAAGTATGCACTGATTTCAATTTTTGCATCAACACAAGTCTATATTTTGATATCAATTTTCACAAACATTCTGAAGGACCCTAGTATAGTGATTGAGTCCATGAGCTCTGGAGGCTGACTTCCTGAATTTTGATGATCTAAGGCTCTAAGCATGAAAACAGTTGGCATACTCAGTAAGTAGTAATAGCTGTCGCTGCTAGGCTCTGTAGTTATTATTATCACTACCATTATAAAGCTTCCAAAGGCATCACTCCTGCAAGAAATAGGGCTGTATAATTGAATCACCATCAAATCACAGAAACATACTAGCAGGAAGGAATGTGGAAACACTCACTCCAGAGGGGAACACACTGGAGGTGCACTGGGTCGCACATTCAAGAGCAACACTCTTTAAAGACTAGAATCCAATTTCAGTTGTTATTTTAGGAAGAAGTCAAGAACTATAAACTAAGGATCATGGTAGTAGCAAGTCAATGATGAAATATAACTTCTTCATGTCTGTCCTTTTTATTTTTTCTCTATTACATTAGGAAAAAACTGAGAATGAAGAAATCCTAAACAGTAATAATCATACTGCCAGGTAGGATGAAATATTACTGTGTGAGGTTTATTACCTAAAGAAATACATACTCCACCATTACTGGTGGGCCCACTGTGAATATATATCAAGAGAGAAAAACTGTAAACCAAAACAAAATTATCAAACAGCCAAAAAAAAAAAAAGCCAAAAGAAGAAAATAAATTAAAAAAAAAAAAAGAAAGAGTGGTACATAAGAAATCTTAAATTGAAATACTTTCTTAAACACTCACCATCACTGCCTTCAGTGCCACAGAGTCTAGGTTTGGCAAATTAGCTAAAGAGCCCTATTAAAAAAAAAATAAAAAATATATAAAGGAAGGGATATGCATTTCATCTCACTTGCCCATTAATGGACTGCTCAAATTGGGAAAATCTTATTACTTATTTCCAAAGTCAAGGGTCATCTTCCATTTTTGCCTGTAAATAGTGTCTTTTAATTATTTTTGTATACTTTTAATCAAAACTATTGGTAGTAAGCAGGATAAAATATAATTTGAGAACATTCTACATCTAGGGTAATCATTTAAGAACTCCACATATTTTACCTCACTTAATCCTCAGAACTACCATATGACTCAAATACTATTTTTACCCCAAGCTAGAGAAAAGAAAGCAGATACAAAGAGCTAAGGCACGTTTCCAGGGGAAAAAAAGTTAATAAACGATACAGCCAAGATTCACATCCAGAGTTTAGCTCTAGCAGCTTAAGCAGCCATACTCTAAACTAGAGAATCTCTTGAACTAGAAACATCCATTTATTTGCTTACCTGTTCAGGCTTATGCTGTTGTACAGTGTTATAGATATAACTCAAGCCAACTCTAGTTAAGACATAAGAGGCTTGCTCATTTATTAGTGTGTCCAAATGTGCTTCAATCTAGAATAAAACAGAAATAAACACTTTAGAGGAGGAATACACAGATGAGAGTAGAAATGAACTAGCAGAGTCTTTGCTCTTCATCACAAATTTGTCGCCTATAGGAGCACACGTTATAAACCACAGACGGCTTCTAAGTTAATTTTCCTCCCCACAAAGAAGTCCTACAAAAAGAACATAAAGACATATTTTAAAAATGTTAACAAGGAGTTGAGTATTTAGTTTAGTGATTGCGACACCTATGTTGTTCCATGTTTGAGCGGCTGGGATCAATTTTTTTAAGATTTATTTATGTTTATTGGAAACTCAGATTTACAGAGAGAAGGAGAGACAGAGAGGAAAGATCTTCCATCTGCTTGTACACTTCCCAAGTGGCCGCAACAACTAGAGCTAAGTCAATCTGAAATCAGAAGCCAGGAGTTTCTTCTGGGTCTCCCACATGGTTGCAGTCTCCCAAGGCTTTGAGCCATCCTTTCTGCTTTCCCAGGCCACAAGTGGAGCAGCCAGGATATCAACTGGCACCATATGGGATCCAGGTGGAAGCAAAGCAGGACTTTAGCCTCTAGGCTACTCTGCCAGGCCCCAGGCATCAATTCTTAGTTGCAGTTCCTGACCTCAGCTTCCCACTATTGGCAACCTTGACAGGCAGCAGTCATGGCTCAAGTAATTGAAACTCTGCCACTCACTCAGAGGATCTCAACTGAGTTCCCACGTCCTGGGTCCAGCTGAGCTGTGGTCATCACAGGCATTTGGGGAGTAAACCAGAGGTTGGAACTCCATTTCAAGTATTATATATATTTTCAAAAAAATAAAATGGATTCCAGGACTAGCAGCTAACCAAAAGTATGAGTAGCTTCTCAGCTCTTTTAAAAGCTGTAAAAGGAAAACACAAGCAGACACATTAATAAAGAGTAACAGTATAAGATAAACTAAGAATTCTGGAAAGATGATTAAGATTTGATATTCCTGGCTAAGTTTACACCCTTCCAACTTGTTTGAATGACTCAATAAGCCAAGCATACCACCTAGGAAAGTCTGAAGGAAATCCCATTGCAACTGAGGTAGCCTACAGTCCTAAGGATATGCTGATCTGTGACAAGATGGGTAGTGCTGTGAACTCAACTGACTCTGAGTAAGCTAAGCGGTGACCCATGTGAAAAAGCAGAACAAGCAATGTTTCTTGAGGCAATACTAACGAAAAACACAGAGAACTTTCTTCTCATCTTCTTTTTCAAAGTAAATGCTTAAGGAAGTACAATCAAAGCCCTTACTGTATTTAAACTAGAAATCAAACATAAGATGCATTAATGTTAACATTTAATGAAAGTGAAAAGATGAGAGTTGCTACTAAGAATTAAAGTATTGTTGTGAAGACAAAAATGGAAGAAAACTAATTCAAAGACAGTAACAATGAAATGGATAAAAGTGATAGATTTTTAAAAAGATATTAGAGGATAGGTCCATAAGATAAGATCAATGAAAATCAGGAGGTTCGGATTTTAAAGCAATACACGAAGCAGTAATGATTATAGAAATAACAAAAAACTAAGTTTTGAAAGTTCAAATCTGACTTGATCTTCGAAATCCAAGAAATAACAGAAAAATGAGCATTACTTAGCAATATTCTGGGGAAATGCGTGAACTGAAAATCCTTATTGCCTTTCAGAAGGAGAGACTAGGGTAACACAAATGAAAGATAATCAGACTAGCTAGCACTTCCCCTCTGAAACACTGGAAAACACAAAATCAGAATGGGGAAAATGAGTGATTATTATTACTGTTGGAACAGGTCTGAAAATCAAGTCCTTTATCAAACCAAGTAAACTAATTCTCTGGAGGGCCTTGATGCACATATCATCTATACCTGCGCTCCTGTATTATCTGAGACGTTCCCCAGCCAGCACCAACCAGTGACACATCAGCAAGGAAGATGAACATACAGGCCGGGTAAGCGTTTCCACACTGGGCCTGTCTTCTTGGAGTGCCTATGGAATCGGGAAGGTGGTGAGACCTGACAGAGCAAGCCGGAGAAAGGGTAACCTGTCTGCTGACATAACCATTCCTGGAAATGTCATGCATAATTAGACTTAACCCATGCATAATAACTAAAATTTAGCTTTAGGCGAGAAAGTTAAAATACATACGAAAAGTCCAGTTAACTCATGAGAGGAGACAAAAAGCAAGAATATAGAGAAACTGAATAAATTAATAAATACACACAAGAACACTGTAACCTGCAAAAAATGACTACGGAACAGTACAAAAAAGCAGGTAACTACAGATAAAGCAAACAAATGAACAGCTGGGCATCCTAAGATTTAGATAAAGGGCAGGGATTTGGGTCTGGACTAACAATAAACAAAAAAATTGATTTAAATAAACTGCTAATTTCACAGAAAAGAAAGTGCTATTGAAGAAATTCCTATTACTTGACTCAATCATGAATAGTTTTTATAAAGCCATAGTAATTTCACACAACACTGATCTTTCCTAAAATTCTACCTATATTGGGATGATGGTAAAACCGTAACTACGGTCTTACTTCTGTGTGCATATGTATATGTATGGGTGTGTGTGTGTGTGTGTACAGTATTAAATTTTCATCATCCAGAGTACATATTCAATTCAACAGATTTAAAACTAAAAATCCTAAAAGAAGGAATATACACAGCCACAAGCATTTAGAGTCACCAACAGAAACAACAACAAAAATTTAAGAACTGAAAAAATAGTATATATGCACTATGGAATATTACCCAACCACAGAAAAAATGATAACCTGTCTTTGCAGCAGATGCCTGCAACTGGAAACCATTATGTTTGGTGAAAAAAGTTAGTCCCCAGAAGATAAATATATGCCCTGTGGTATCCTGTGGAAAAGTTATTGCTGATTTTTTTTAACTTATTACTTGCTGAAATCTTTACCCAATGAAGGCTGTGGTTGTGAAGTGAAAGTATGCTACCGCAAATTATTTTTAAAAGGGGAAAGGAGGGAAGGGGAGGGTAGGGGAAGGAAAGAGGGAGGAATGGAGAAAAGAAGGAGGGAAGAAAAGAGGAAAAAGATGGTGTGTGGAAACACGGGCAGGAACAAACACAGGATAAAGTATCTCTAAGCTCCTAAATCTGTATTGTGAAATATGTGAAATTTGTTCACTTTACATAGATAAGACTTAATTTAAAAAAAAATTCAAGATGTGATACCTTAAGAGAGGAAATCTGTGACCCTTGAGAGAGAAATGCTATAGTGCAGAGTATAGAACATATGACCTTAAGTCACAAGTATGTTTGATTCTGATAAATTTATTTTAAAAGAAGTTATTCAAGCTTAGAAAATATCACAAATGTGATGTATTAAAACTCATTCCTCAGAAAAACTCAAAAGAACAAATCAATCTTTGCCGTATCCACTACTGCAATGTTTGCATACTTGTGATAAAATGGAACATTTAGAAGCTTTTTGTTTTCAACATCAATAAGTTGGAAGCAAATTTCTTGTCAAATTCAAAAACTGATTTCATTTAATTATCAAAGGCTTCTTTGTGATACCACTAGTGTAAAGAAATAATGACTGGTATAATAAATGCAATGTTTTGCCTAACACTGGTTTACACATAGATAAAAATATAGCTGTCCTCTGTAACACATTCTGCACTAGCTACAAGCTTGAAAAATATAGCATATTATTCACAGTTCAGAAACTGAAACCTACATACAGAACTGAAGACTGTCCCAATTCATCAGAGAAGCTTCATTCTACCAACAGATACTGTGGTTTGAACCATTAAATTCTGCCCTTGCCACAGCTGAACACCAAAATATCAAGTGTATGTGTGTGTGGGGGGGTGCATGTATGTATTTCAAGCAAATTATTTCAAGAAATTTACAAAAATTAGTTCACTGAAATGAATCAAAGCAACCGATTTAAATGTAAAGCTATCACACAGAGGAAAAAAAAAAGATTCCACAGTACTCAACATTCATTATTATACAGGAATTTACCTGAAATTGAAGCATTTCCAGACGTCTGTCAGTGAATTCAAACAGAGCTAATGTTGTCTTCATCATATACAGAGAATTGACCATGAAAGTGGCCATATCAGCTGTGCCTAAATTGCTGGCTGACACAGTACACATCTGGAGCAGAGGATCCAAGACACATGATAAAACCTACAGATGAAAAATAAAAATCAAGTCTGTATTTGCTCTTATGTGACCTAGTGCTGGATTAATGGCATTTCAGAGTTATTGTTAAACTATCAGGAAGCCAACGTGTAGAAACACACAAGGAGAAAAAAAAAAGCATACAAGGAAATATTAAATAGTGTAACAGCCACATCATTTAAAACAAGCATCACTGAGTCAATGTTTTAAATGAAGGAGAGCAGTTTTACTCAAAGGAAAATCAATAACATGAAAGCGACTGTCAAAACATATGGGCTATAAAATGCTAGCAATCTAACATAACGTACAATGGAGATGCAAACATGACTATTACTACAAATTTACTACATACTTGCACGAAATCAGCTTGGCGAGCATCTAAAGGAATGACTGAAGAATCATGAGAAGCCAAAACTTCACGCAACAACGTGAGTGTCTGGTTTAGTGCAGAACTTGGTCCAAGGTCAGGTGGTGGGAGTTCAACCTAGAATAGAGAATGCTTTATGCATTGCTTATATTCTACACTAAGTTTAATAAGAACCCATGCATGTGTGTTCACACTAAAAACAATACATACAAAACAATCAAAGAACTGACTGACATATTAAAAATCTATAACTTATAGGAACTTTTACTAAATTACATCTATATCACCTAAGCAATCTACAAATTCAATGCAATCTCCATCAAAGCACCAATGACATTCTTTACAAAATTAGGAAAAGCAACCATTGTGGTCATATAAATTTCTTCAGCAGTACTAAGCAATCAGATTATGGAAAGAAAACAGGTTAAAATAAAGTAATAGAACATGGCTCTACCAAGTCAGTGTAATGAAATTTACATCATTGTGATGTAAAAAGATTAAAGGCAACAGCAAGGTAATGATGGAATAGACGCTAGAAGAAAATGAACTGACCCAGTCACTCATCTAACTTACATCAACTTCCTCATGAGCCGAGATACAGAAAGATTAACTATTTTTTGTTTTCACCAGTAACCTTACTAAAATTCATTTTTTCACAATCTGATCAAATGTACTTTGAATATAAAACCAGTTTACTTCACTAGACACTAAATACTATGTTCTAACACTGGTGTACTTTTGCCTTCATGGCACAAACCATGTTCGGTTGTAATACAATACTGGAGTTGACACCTTTTTAACTTTTAAAAAGTGAGAGTTTTTGTTTTTTTATGATTGTTTTCACCATTTAGAAAGGTTTTGTTCAGGTTTTATACTGCCTAAAAGAACAGGGAAGCCATCCACATTTTCATATGCTAAAAAGTATTATCAATTCCTTGCAGGTGTGAATGAAACCATCAAATCTGAGTTATGTCTATCCGTGGAGCTTGGTAATTTTTGTTACCCACCTATGCACACTAAAGTATTCTTTTATTTTTTCTATCCAATGTGTTTCTAAAAGCCAATGAAAATATTTTATTTGAAATTCAGGGTGACAGATATTTTCTATCCAGTGACGGGATATCTAAATGACTACAAATGCAGGTCATCATCAGGCTGAAGCCAGGAGCCTGAAAATCCATCCTGTTTTCTCATGTGAATACGGGGGTTCCAAATACTTAGGGCAACATTATTGCTTTCTCACGTGCAATAGCATGGAGCTGGATCAGAAGTGGAGCAGTGGGGCTAGTGTTATAGCACCACAAGCAAAAGCCTCCACCTCTAACCCCCACATCCCATGGGTGCCAGTTAGAGCTCCAGCAGTTTCACTTTCAGTCCAGCTCCATTATTGTGTCTGTGAAAGCAGTGGAAGGTGGCCTCTGCACTTTAGCCCCTAGTGCCCATGTGGGTGACCCGAGAGTAGCCTTGGGCTCCTGGCTTTAGCCTGACCCTGCCCGAGCTGTTGTAGCCCTTGGGGGAGTGAGCTAGCAGATTGAAAATAATGTTTCTTGCCTTTTCTCTGTAACTCTGCTTTTCAAATAAAGAAAAAAATAAATTTTAAAAAAGGAAGGAGATCAGCACTGTGAATAGGGATGCTACAGAGGCAAGCAGCAGCGTGTTAACCCACCAAGCCAAAAGGCTAGCCCCTTAGTTTACTCTTCTATCAATTTCTATCACCGTAAAAATATTCTTATGATTCACACTTTCAGATTATTTTATCCTAAAGTTGGAAATGGTGTTTTCTAAGATGCTTGTTTTATCTAAGGCCTTTCTCTAAATTCTGCTATAGTTTTTAAATTTCATTATTAGTAGTATTTTTTAATGATACAATTCCATAGACTCTGGAATTTCCCATCCTCCTGCTAAAATTCCGACCCTGAATCTTCCTACAGATTATCTAAACAGTATGCTTAGTAATATGCTTTCCCACATGCTGCAATCTGGCTCCCCTCTTCACCACAGGAGCAAGAATGTACCAAAGAGCACAAGCCTGCTTTCTTTATTTCACCGCAGGTTTTCATGTAGCTTCTGTTCTTACTCACCAAATCCACCTTCTTAAAACTACTCTCCAAGTTTTTCTGGAAGAATCTTATACTCGCTTTTCCCCTCTCTGAGAATCATACTGTTGACTTTTTTTCTAAATTAATTGCATTGCATTATGTGACACCGTGTTGACTTTTAATTTTTTTTTCTTCTTTTAAAGGCCTGCATTTCCTAAGCCATTGTGTATTTCAGTAGCTTTGCTGTTATAATAAGTGGTTCCCAATAGCCTCATCGAAAGCCAGGTATTGAATCAGCTCATATCTGTGAAACTCAATCTATGGCTATCTGTTCAATTATACTCATTTCAGATTGCCCCTAGGAAAGTCAAAAGGAGCTTACTATCAACATCATCATCACATCATCTCCAACATCTTCCTCCTTCCGCATTCTAGATATTTGTGTGTGCTCCAGGAATTACTCTAGGCTTCCCTTATACACTGAGCCTTATTCTGTCAGTCACATAAGTAAATTAAAAAAAAATAATAAGAACCTATCCCCAAATGGTTAATTTAGTCTCTCTCTCTCTCTTTTAGATCATATATTTTCATAAAAATTACTTCAATCTTCCCTTAGTCTCCCTATCTTTAATCTAACCTCTCTTCTTTTTTATATAACATAACACTTTCCAAGTAATCTTTCCAATAAGTGGGAAAAAAATCTGTTTGTGACTCATAGTTTGTGTTCTGGCATTTTCCATTTGTTTTCTCTAATTAGGATGATCTCTATTTATCCCCTATTGCTCTACTGAAATCTTACCTTGAATCCAGGCACTATGATGTTGGTCACAGGTGCCCCAAGAGTCCTCTTAACCACTGTACCAAACCTCTCATCCCCTACCTGGCTCATTTGAGGTTCATTTGCAATGTTTCCCTTGTTTGCTTATATATATATATATCTCTAAATAATTTTATATGCGAATAATTATAGTATATATACAGAAGAATAAAAAACTCAGTAAAACCAAGTGATTAACCTCAGATTGTAAAAATACAAATTGCTTGAACATTATGTAAGAGTTTGTTTTCTAATCTTTATGTCAACTTAGCCTCCATCTAATTATGATAAGTTTGCTTTAGCTACTCATTTCTGGTTATAGAAACATGGTGGTAAAAGTAGGGCTTAAGATTCTATCTGGACTATGACTCAGTTTTCTGCTATTCCAGGAAGACAAAGACTTAAGGCTGCTGCACGCAGGCAGCATTCAAAAGAACACTGCATGAAGTACAATAAAAAAAAATCATCAATCAACACAAAACATCAAAACAGCATCTATAGATGTGAAAATTTCATAATCAGAGTTGAAGAAATTCATTTTTTATACACACCTTGTCCATTAATTTACTTGCATGTAGACTCAAACTATTAAAGAAGATTTTTTTGCTTAGTAAATGCATTTCTTCAATGGTAGTCAATAGCGTGGTCGCACTATTTCCAACAATGCCACTGAAAGCAAAGAATATTTCAGGTTGTAGAACAGAAATTAAACAACTCTGCTCTTTAAATCAGTAAACTACTTTCAAAAGATCTAGTTTTAAATAAGAATTTTTATATAGACTACAATCTGTGATTTAAAAGCAATTACTCTAATAATTAATTTCACACACAAAAAGTCTTATTTCAAAATTTTGAGTTTAGTGATGACAAAATGATTAACTTTAGGTAAAACATCACAAATCTGAAAATTCAAAACACAAAAGTGCTCCAAAACCTGGAACAGTCTCATGGATTTGGGGTTTTCAATTTAGGAAATTGAAATAAGTTCTCAATATTTCATAATTTCTTTTACTAAAACTGTGGTTAGAACAGATATTCATAATATTTAAATTTATCTTTATCTTTTCCCCTTAAACAGGACTTGATTATCCAAAAGACAGATTCTAGAGAAGCCTTCCATCAACAGTTCTACTAATCAAGCAAACTGTTTAAATACGGAGTTATTATTTTAAACTGCTACACTTCATCATAAGTATCACATTAATAAGTTATATACTTTTCTCCTTTTCATACATTTGTCCAAACACTATATACTACAATAACTGACATTTTGAAATATTAATTACATGAGTGTGTATTTATGTAGTAGACAGAGAGTTCCTACCCACCGGCTCACCCTCTAATGCACTGGTGGCAATGCTCAGGACAGCCAGAGCAAAGCCAGGAGGGCAATGCAGGACCCCCACATTGGTGGAAGCACCCACATGCTTGAGCCATCACCACTACCTCCCACACTGTGCTGTAGCAGGAAGCTGTGCCTGGGCAACTAGAGCCAGTATTAAACATAGCAACTCTCATTAGGGACGCAGGCTTCTTTCCTGGCATCTTAACTGCTATGCCAAATGTCTGTCCCTTAGCTTTAGGCATTAGACACAAATTCTTTTATATAGATGAGAGCTGAAACTTCTTATACAGTTTACCTCCCCTGCCACACACACTCAGATCTCATCTAACAGTTATGACTAAAAGGTTCTGATAAATAAAATTTCAGTGTTTATAATATGATAAGCATGTACCTACTATTCAGAGCTTATTGAGCAACCAGGGATCACCAACACAAGTAAAACAGCATGCTGGTAAACAGCAATCCATCTCAACTAAAGGAAAAGGAGAACTCCAAGCGGAATGTCAGAAGAGAGGAGGGGCGATGGATTACTTAACACGTCTGCGGTTATATGGTGAGAAAATGACAGTCTACTTCAGGGTTTAGATCGGAAATCCTGAAGTGATGAGGCCGTGGTAAAGCAAACACATATGAAAACAAAGCAAATATTAACTCCAGGGAGGAAATTTTACAGGAAAGGATATGTAACCTAAATATGTTAAGCTCCCAATTTCCAGGATTTTTTATCTTTTTTTTTCAGGACTTCTGAAATTTATAGTAGGTAATGAGGTTTTATCTTTTTTTTTTTTTTGAGATTTTTGCATGTTTCCTATTTTTCTGAAACATAACTGGCTAGTCTTTCCAAGTTGTTATTATTATTTTGTTATTTTATGATACAGTTCCATAGCCTCGGAGATGTTCCTCTTCCTGACCGCTTAACAAGGAGCTTCCAGGACCCAGCCCATGGGCCCTATTCTTTATCCATACTTACTCTTACACTTAAGAGTGATTCTACCTGGCCAGTGGCTCAGAATATCCACATGTTTAAGATTACCAAATTCATAGTTTCATCCTGATTTCTGTGTTAATCTTATCCAACAATTTGAACTGTATGTTAATAGGTACATCAAATCTGACACTATCAAAACTGTATTGAACTTTCTCCACTTTAACCCTCATGCCCAAACAAGCTAGTCCTCTCCAACATTCTGCATCTCAGCAAATAACATTGTTGACCAGCTGTTGAGATGTCACTCCATTTAGTCCAGACATTGAACACAACATTAAAATACGTGTGAAATCAACTACCTTTCCCACCTTGAAGGCTAACACTTTATTATGATTCATCAACATCTATGTTCAAGAATACAAACCACGTCTTAAACACTTTTTTAGTTTCTCCTTTGACTTCACCACTTTTTTTTTTAAAGATTTATTATTATTATTATTATTATTATTTTATTGGAAAGGCGGATATACAGAGAGGAGAGACAGAGAGGAAGATCTTCCATCCGATGATTCACTCCCCAAGTGAGCACAACGGCCGATACTATGCCGATCCGAAGCCAGGAGCCTCTTCTGGGTCTCCCACGCGGGTGCAGGGTCCCAAAGCTTTGGGCCGTCCTCGACTGCTTTCCCGGGTCACAGGCAGGGAGCTGGAAGGGAAGTGGGGCTGCCGGGATTAGAACCGGCGCCCATATGGGATCCCGGGCGTGCAAGGCGAGGACCTTAACCACTTGCGCCACCGCGCCGGGCCTGACTTCACCACATTTTTATTACTTACCTTGTACCTAGATTAACCTGGTCTCATAAATTGTTCAAGTCATTTAGTCCGTTCCCATACTTTCTGCAAATCAGTTTCAAATCTAAATCTGGAGCCAGAGTGTGGTAGACCAATATCCTACATTACAGTACTGAGAAACAGCCCCAGCCACTGTATTTGTGATCTAGCTTCCTGATACTAGGCCTGGGAGACATCAGCAATGGTCCAAGCACTTGAGTCTGTCACCATGAGCAGACTAGGGTAAAGTTCATGGCTCCTGCCTCCAGCCTAGTCCAGATCTGATTGTTTCTGCCACTTCAGGAGTGAATGGAAGACAGTGGAATCTCTGACTACCCCTCTGTGTTAACTCTGGCTTTCAAATTAATAATATCAAGAAAGGAAATCATTGTTTTGTAAAAGCTAAATTATCACGATGACTTGTAAAGTCCTGCTACCCAACCTCTCCGTTCTTCGATTTCATCTTTCCTCCTCCTTTCCAATTTACTGTACTCCAGTAGCTGGTCCCCCTTCTGCTTCTGCAAAATTCAAGCCTATCCTGGATCCAGGACTTCACTGAATCTTTCTGGACTAGGATGATCCAAAATCTCTTCATGCCCAACTCCCTCATGTTATTCATTTTAAATAACTTTAAAGAAAAAATGATATGGTTTTCATATCATTTGCAAGACAGACAAGCAAAGAGAACTTCAATCTGATTTACTTGCTCAGTACTGACAAAAGCCAGTGCTAGCTCAGGTTAATGGTAGGAGCCTGGAACTCAGTCTGACTTTCCCGTGTGGTTGGAGACACTGAAGCGTATGAACTCACACCTGCTGCCTGTGCATACATTAGCAAGAAGCTGGATTAAAACAAAGAAACTAAGACACGAAACAAGCAATTTCACTTGGGATGCAGGTGACCAAATAGGTACTTGAATTATTCTCTCCTTCACATTACTCAGGACTATCCAATCCACCTACACCAAAAGATATCCAAAGTCTTGTACACGGGCATTTATTCACAGATAGCCAATCTTTACACTTCTACTTCCTTCTTCTTGCTTTCTCTTCAGTTCATTTATCACTATCTAGACTTAAGCTATCATACACACCTGAAAAATATATAACAAAAAAATTTTGATCTCACTTTCAGCATTTTCTTCAAAAATATAAAACCTCTAATTTGCAGATGCTAAAACTGTTTAGAATCTTGACATTGCAAGTAAGTTTATATAAAGCATTTTATAATGCTTTTAACTGAGTTATTTTATCTTCGAATAAAAATTTAGAGTATCATGGGCACGGTATGATAGTATAGTGGCTAAAGTCCTTGCCTTGCATCCACTAGGATCCCATATGGTCGCTGGTTCTAATCCCAGTGGCCCTACTTCCCATCCAGTTCCCTGTTTGTGGCCTGGGAAAACAGTTGAGGATGGCCCAAAGCCTTGAAAGCCTGCACCCATGTGGGAGACCTGGAGGAAGCTCCTGACTTCTGGCTTCGGATTGGCTCAGCTCCAGCTGTTGCAGTCACTTGGGGAGTGAACCGTTGGACAGAAGATCTTCCTCTCTATATCTCCTCCTCTCTGTATATCTGGCTTTCCAATAATTAAAAAAAAAAATTTAGAGTATCATACGGGCACTTCTAAAATGTGGCAAATATACACTGTGGAATACTACTCAGACGTTAAAGAATGAGATACTGTCTTTTGCAACAAAATGGATTCAACTGAAAACAAGCCAACCCCATAAGCTACCCTCAGATCTATAGAAATAAATACAAACTGCACAAAAAATGTAATGAATATGAGCAAAATCAACATGTTGAGATTTAACTGCTTATAACCTTTGCCTGTACTCTTAGGCAACATTCGTTTTTCTACTTCCTATTTGTTGAATTCTTCACATAGTGGAGAGTTAAACTTGTGCTTATAAAATAAAATGAAAACATGTCATTAAGAAAAATTAGAAAAGGAGGATAGAGGATAGTAGTATGAGCCAGAGAGAAGCAAAGATGGGAAGCGTTACTATGCTCCTAAGTTACAAAACACATGAAATATGTTCACCTTATATAAATAATAAAAATTATTTTACCACTAATATTTCATAACCTAGCATGTGCTGTGTCCAGCTCTTTTAGTTGCTTTTGCATTCTTTAAGTATGTATCATTTTCTTATTTTAGGAAGATATATGTAACATTACAATGGGAATAAACTTATTGCTATTGAGTTATGATGACAATAAATGTATATGTTAAATGTTTAATATTGTCAAATCCTATTTCTAAAAACTTTTCTCACCTATAGCTTCTTAGTTCTATTTCAAAATCTAGCAGTAAGAAAAACAAGATAAGAATAGAAAGAAAAACAATTTAAAAGAAAATCTACCAATAAGACATAAAATCCATGTCTTACCTTGAAGTTTGGGCTGGCTATGCTCATGTGCTAAGGGATATCTTTTCATTACCATAGCCTGTGATGTTCTACAATTCGGGATCTCTGAAGCTCTCTGAGATCTATAACTTATAATCGTCCTAGATATTTATAGCTACTCCTCTGTTCACGATACTGACAAAGTGGATAACAAGTAGTAGTTGGGCCCGGAGCAACAGCATAGTGGTTAAAGTCCGCGCCTTGAACTCGCCGGGATCCCATATAGGCTCCGGTTCTAATCCCGGCAGCCCTACTTCCCATCCAGCTCCCTGCTTGTGGCCTGGGAAAGCACTAGAGGATGGCCCAAAGCCTTGAGTCCCTGCACCAACGTGGGAGACCCAGAAGAAGCTCCTGGCTCCTGGCTTTGGATTGACACAGCACCGGCCATTGCGGCCACTTGCAGAGTGGATCATCAGATGGAAGATCTTCCTTTCTGTCTCTCCTCTTCTCTGTATATCTGCCTTTCCAATAAAAATAAATAAATCTTTAAAAAAACAAAAACAAGTAGTTGTTAAATCATTCAGAAACTACAAGAAGTACAAAAACTACCAAAAACACAGCTTGAAAGAACACTGTCTTCATACAATGAGATATATGTGATCTTACACAGCTGTAATAAAGCTTTTATAAATAAAGCTTACACATTTATAATAAAGTAAATAGCACCAATATAGATGCAGGCAAAGCAAAAATGAATACAATCATTAGAGTGAAAGATTACACTCTGGATAAAACATACAACATCTAATCAGATATAGATGTTTTCATGTAAAGAAGACAAAGCTATGGTTCAAATTCATCACTGACAGAATATGAACTGCTAAAAGTTCTCATTATTTCACTTAAAATTAGATTTTTCATTCATTATGCTATCTTACAAGTATAACACACAGTGGCTTTAGTTGTCATGAACTGCTCTTACCGTCGAAGGGGCCCTTACACACGCTCTACAGGTAAAAGCAGTGCTCAGAGGGAAGAGGGATGTGTGTGCACATGAACAGAAGGACTAGGTTTTGGGAGAATAAAGACGAAAGGAGATGACAGACCTCAACCTGCAGCAGGTATAACACGCAGACACTGGCTCACATGATTGTAGGTGCTCATTGGACTTAGCCACACGTACGGTGAAAACAAAACAAACAAGAGCTTACATGGTGCTCTAAGTAAAAGGAACTTCACCTGAGACTGAGTAGGCCTCACCTTTCTGCTTACCTGATTGTATGGTGGTAAAATTTGAGGAGGTTAGAGATTTTATATAATAAAACTGCCCCTGGTTCAGCAAGTATTACTTGTTCAATTCGAACCTATCAAAATATATGAGAAGAAGTTAAACATTTCTTGAAATCATCCTTTGCTCTTCATTACTGATATGGTATATAAAAAGCATAAAAGTAAAGGTAAAATTCTCATAGAGATAAATTATACCTTCTAAATAAAGCATTTCTGAATTTTTAAGTCAGAGGGATGATAAAATAACAAATAGTAAGACAAATATACTCTTCTGAAAAGAGTAATTGTCCGGAGAATTTGGATCAAGAGACCTGGTATCAGAAAGATCAACACAATGAGATTATTTAGAAGTTATCATCAGCACATAATGGAATTTGGTTCAATATTAAATTGCAAAAGCAGCTGTTATACCCCTAAAAACAGGCTATCACTGAAAACATACGGCTCCACTGGTAAATATTCAGAAAAAAATCTTGTCTAAATAATTTATAGTTTCTTTTTCTAGTAATCAGAAAACAGAAAAACAGAGAAATGTCAAATCAGCACCAACTCAGTTATAAAACAATCACGGCACAGATCCCATTGGCTTAAGATGACCTTGACTGGCTGAAACTGAGCTGTCAGAAACATTTCCTAAAATTCCATCCCTCACTGATCTGTTACTTTGCATCTCTTCATTAATGAATACAACCTAAGCCACACTGATACATGCTGACTGAACACATGGTAATGCACCTGCTTTAAGCTACTGTTTTCTAGCATCACCTTCCTTAACTAACTAGTCCCTAAACACAAGCACATCCACTGTACCTTCTCCTTCTCTCACATCCCTGAGGCATGTAGTAGAACAGTACATACACAGCAGATGTTTTTAAACCCTTTTGAAAGCTCGAGCTTCTTGTGCGTGTCATAATGCCAACATATGTGATTTGCTAAAATGAGATTCTATAAATATATGCATATCAGCATACAAAAAAGAATTATGAAGCTGACTTGCTTTTTGGCAGAAAGCAACAGAATGGTTAACTAACAGATTATGGACACCATCTGAATTCACAGTTTCCACATTACAATTTCTTTTTTTGGCCAAGGCCTCAACTGTGATTTAAATTATACAGTTTATAAAAAAGGGATTTTTATGAATTATAACAGAATTATTAGAGCAAAATAGAAAATACACCAACTGTGAACAGGCATCTTGTCACCCGCAGATTTACAACATCACTGCAGCTTTCTGGAAGCCTGACTTCCAGAATTTTGAGATGTTAAGAAAGTGTTTAACTCCCGTAAGAGAGAAAGGAGATGGAAGGAAAGGAGAAAATAAAGAGAGGAGATGGAAGAAAAAAAGAAGGTAAAAACAAAATAACACATTCAGCTACCATAGAAACTACAACATAGAAGGACTGAAAAATCCGATTTGCAAATTAAACTACAATTAATTTGTTTTCAATGCAAAAAAAAAACACACTGTCTTAGAATTTTTTAAGGAGATTTCCAATCAAAGCCAGGATTCAGGAGAAAAACAGAAAACAAGAGAAACAGAAACAAAAAAGATGAAACAAAAAACAAACAAAGAAAACACACAAAGCAAGAGATCAAAAAATGATGTAAACAGCAAATGGCTAGAAATCATAATGATGACAGAGATGGACAAAAATCATAAGAGCTTTAAAGCAGTAATGGAAGTAACAGCTCAGTTAAAAAGTTTGAAGAAGAAACTCTGGTATAACTAGTGAACAATAAATCTTAACTGTATTGTATTAGCAGCAGAACAATAAAGGCAGATCTTAAAAGCAGCAAAACAGGCTGCAGACCTAAAGGGCAGAGGAGCTGGGGAAGAAGCAGAGGAGCAGTGGCTCTCTTCCACAAAGCTAGAGAAGAGAGCAAACGCAGGAGCTGGGGAGGAGGAAAGTGGAGTAGGAAGAGAAGCATGAGACGGCAGAAAGCGAGAGAGGGCTTACAATTACAGAGAAGGGGATGAGAGCTAGGGATGCAAAAAGAAACAAACTAATATTATGCATGGTGAGCTGCTTAGGACAGTCTTTATTAGCAATCAGAGGGCGCCAACTCTATCATCCAGATGTTATCCAGGCTGTTTTTACAAACATCTACCTTCATGGAACCCATGTGAGTTCAGCAAAGTCAGGCGTATTCACTTCACCAAAGCTTTCGCTAACAGATTAAATTTAAATAATTTGACCCATGAACTTGAAAACAAAGGTTGACGACAGGAATGACCATGCTTCCATCTACTGTTTTGGTGTGAACACCCCTGTAAGTAGTAATAGGCCAGATGCCATCATGTCATAGTACCCTTGCTATAAGGGATGAGTTTCAGAGCACAGATTTTTTAAAAAGGAAATAGACTTAGAGATCATATCTTAGTGTATATTATAACATGTTCAATCTATTATCTCTGACATTTTCAAGTACAGGAATAGTTTCTCAAAGATGTCATCCATGATTATTACAATTTTCTTCATGCTTCGAAACAAAACATACCCAGAATTGCTATGTAAATTAAACAAATATTTACATGACATAAGTGACAATCAAGCACTAATAAATGTTTCATTTGACAGTAATACAAAATAATTTCAAAATAGTTTATATCTACTTATTCAACACAATTGATCTTCAGATAATCAAATTACAGTGATAAATAAAATCTCAAGTATAATTCATTGTATCTAACATTTTCTTGATAAAAAGTCTTAAAAATAAAATTTGTTTCAACATTTAGTTTTTGATAAGAATAAATCACAAACCCTATGTATTTTAATTTCTATAAGTAAACAAATGTCAATCAACAAGGAAAAGCAAGACAAAAATGAACAAGTATCCCATAAATATGAAACAAGGAGAAGAAAATCCTCGCAGCCCTACTAAATGCCTACTAAATAATAACCTACAGAGTTATTTAATCCTTACAGCTACTCTTTGGCTACAGAATTATCTCATTTAATCCTTATAACAAGCCTTGATTGTAAGTATTTCTGCATGCAAGCTCAATGTGAACAAATTAAAGTACAACAGGGTTAAGCAACAATATGTAAAATACAATTAAATGGTACAATGAGAATTCTAATCAAACTGTACTCTAAATTCTGTCCCTTGTACTAGAAATAGCATTAATAACACTGACACAAACTTTTATTTTATCCTTGCATTAATGATTATTTATTGCTATTACAAACTAACTTACTATAGAGAAATAAAACATATGAAACACATTTTAGTAAATCTGTAAAGAGCTATACATTAGTTGTTTCAACTGACTAGATCTTTGATTACCATAAATCACCAAGAAACATAATCTGTAAACAAAATAAATGCAAACTATAAATATTTCCAGTTTTCTTTCTATAAGAGAAAATTGATAACTATTATCTTAAAATGTATTAGTCTAATTAATGTTAGTTTAGCAAAATTATACCAGCTCAAGCTGGTATCAGTTTGCTTAGATTCTTAAGAATAAGGTTATACCTTTTCCACATGCCATTTATTAAATGCAAAAACAAAAAATGCTACCTTTAGAGGCCTGCACACACCCTCAGTGATATGTCCAACAACTTCTTGAATATTTTCTTCAACATCTAAAAGCAATTAAGTCATCATTAAAGTTTTTTCTTTATTATACCCTGCTTTATGTAGGTTCAAAAAACTAACAAGTAATACTTAGCATTAATGGCACCTAGTAACACATAAAATAATCAGACCAATATTATTAAGTTTGATGTCTTTTGGGTACATCACTAATTGTGTTAGCAACACATTACCATGTTAATAATTAATGTGTTTCTAGAAAGTCATGTTAATTCATTTAGCTGTCAAATTAATTAAATGACTACTACTGCTGGCTCTGAGAAAAAGAAGTAAGCTGAGACAGAGAGGCAAAAACAACTAAAATCTCTTTAGCAAAGGAAGTGACGTGAAGATGCAGCAGCATTCATTCCAGGTAGTGGTGTGGAATAGATAAGCTGAGGGTACCAAGAGAGGAGTGTATCATGTATTCAGCGGGAGAACTGCCCACTTTTCAGCATCACGCTCAGTGGGCACTCAACACTTACTGCCTGTAACCACTCTTTCTGTCACAGGTGGAGAAACAGGCTCAGATAGCTTAATTCCTTCCTGAAAAATAACCTGCTTCATCTAACTCCAACCTCTTTGTTTTCCATTGCTTAAAATTGTCTACTTTTCTAAAACATCATTAAAGAAATAAAACTACATCCTTTTAAACTGTGTACTGGGGATAACACCAGAAAACATAAAAATTACACTTCAAAAAATGCAGACTTGTGTTCTCCATACGGAGTGCGTCCTCAGCAGGGAGGATTTCAGCCACTGCCGCATGTTTGTCCGCTGCCCTCTCCTGCAGATCACGCAATGAGCCACAAAGATGTGCGGCCAAGCTATAGAAAATAATCAGGTGATTCCAGGCCACGATGTTTCTCTTCACTTCATAACAAAAACATCTTTTTTATATACATTAAACCCTCAGATGTTAAAACAGGCATCTCATTGTAATCATAATTAAGAAAATACGAAGTTGTATAAACAACATATGAATGACTCTCAAATACAATTATTTTTTCTTTAAAACTAAGATAAGTATTTTTCATTAAGTATATTTAGTAATTATTTCTATGAAAAAAATTTAAACAGGTGAAAATGGTGAAAATGAAGTTGTACAAAGTGAAACACTTAGTAGCTTAGCAGCTATAAGCAAGTCACTTAGCCTGTTCACTCACAAATGAGTGCCACCTTCTATCTTTAATATCATGCTGAAGATCTGAGCTAAATCATGCTAGGCACTTCAGAAACGTAAATCTGAATCTGAGGAAGGAAGAGGGTGCACTATAAAAGTGTAACCAGTGGGGTGACAGGGTAGAAGCAAGGAAGGAGGAAGCGTATTGTAAGAGTGGGGATGCCTGGAGTGGAAGATTAATTCGGACATTGGTCGTGCCATCAGGGTGTGAAGTGTTCTACCTCAGTGAGGAAAATGGCAATGAGAACAGAAACACTGATGTCCTACATTGTTTCCTACGCCGAGGTTCTCAGCAGCTAACAATCAACCCACCTTGCGTAGGCACGTGCTTTAAGAGCGCTTCCAGGTGCTCCTTCTCAGAAGCAGTAGCTTGATGGAGCCAGGCTAGCATGTCGCCCACATACCTAATGAAAACAGGATGCTGGTGAGAAGCTCCCCTGCACAGACTTAAACCCTCTACTATCCGACACTGTACCTCAAAGGGTCATGGGAGTGCATCTCAATGGGTCTCGGTGTACTTCCTGGACCTCCTCTTGTAAGGGCATCAATAAATCCACGAACAACTGTACTTCTTCTGGCTGTTCCAAATTCATCTAAGGTATACCTGGAAGAAAGAAGTGAAAAGCTGTCAGATTCTTCTCCTAATTATTGTAACAGACAATGTAAGCAATGTCTAAGACAAGACAGACATCTAAAGTTTCCTTAGACATTCTCTTAAAAAGGAAAGAAATTTATGAGGTAACCTTAGCATTCTGGAAATCCAATCTAAAGGCAGCCAATATTCACTCCTACTAAGAAACAATTTTACAATTTGGAATTTAAACAAGGGCAGTAGCAATAAGGGACAGAGCAGTGTGGGCTTGGCAAAAGCTAAACAGGCCAAGGTACAGTTCTCAATTCTTCAGCTTGCAATACCTTTACAATTTAAATCTTGGTGCCTTTTTTTTTCCCCACAAAGCTGTATTATCTAGTTCTCAGAAGCTTACTTACTTATTGGAACTCGGCGATTTAAAAACTAAGACTTTCTCTTCTACTTTAAAAAACAAAACAAACAAACAAAACCGCTCTATTCCATATGCTACTTACCACTTACTACCAAAATTTGCCACCCATATTACTATTCATTTTAAAAACCTCTTCTGACTCCAACATTAGACATACTAGGTATTCCTTGAGTTTATTGCTCAACCATGCACATAAAGCAAATATTATTTCCTAAACATACAAAAAGCCTTCCAAAAGTTCTTGGAAAAAGCAAATTATGAAAATAACACACATGAATCCAACATTTTTAAGTTATCTTTCAATTTACCTTTTTCCATGAAATTTTAAAAGCACTTTCATACAATTAGATCAAACATTAAAGCTTTAAACAGTTTTTTAAGGCAAGGAAAAAAAGCTTTGAACTGAGGAAAAGCAAAATTTGGGGTGAAACTGCTGAAGACGACCTGGAGTTGCCTCAAGTGTCTATTTCTTTTACTAGCTCATTCCTTATGTCCCATTATCACCACCACTGTCCACATGCGTCCCCTAAATCAAAGTCTCTTCAGTGTTAAAAAGTAAACAGGAAAACAAAGTATGCTTTGGTAGGCCAATGTCAGCAGAGTTGCTTCACTTCCTACCAAAAAAAAACATCTTTTCATTAGACACTCAGTCCTCCAACTCTTAAAAAAACAGCATAACACTGTCGCAGCTAAGACTAGGATGCTATAAAGATGTCAGCTAACCTCAAGTGGGAATTGTTCCTCAACTTCTAAGAGCAAATAAATAATTAATTTAAATGATTTAGACTAAATATTAAGAATTATTTTATTAAATTATACATATGTGAAAGTTGCAACTTTTTTCTAGTACTTCCAAAAGAAGTCATTTCTTACACCATATTGCTTTAACATCGTCCTGATTTAACAAAGAAAATCCACAACTAGTTAGATATAAGAATCTTGGATAGAAATTACTTTCAAAGAGAAGTGTGAAATGGTGAATGCCTATAATTTTTAGGAACCTGAGCTTTTTGTAAGACTGTCACTATAAAGCAGACAGTGGATCTGTGTATGTGTGTGTGTTTGTGTGTGTGTGTGTGTCTGTCTGTCTGTCTTCAGGTAAAAGTAAACACTTTTGAGATTTCCTGTAAATAAAATGTATTAAGAAAAGGGGAAAGCATAGTATCAGGCTAAGTCTTTTTAAATTGCATAGTTTCCTTGCACTTGCTTTCCATTTTTTAAAAATAAATTAAGTAAAATGTTCATTTCTATCTTGTCCCTCGTTCTCTTAAATCACAAATGTCTAGTGTAAAGGATTTCTTTTAAAAGATCACTTGACTCCATGAAATAATAAATTATAATCAAGTGATTGGTTATATGGAAATTAATGAACTTGGAAATTAATGAACTTTTAAATTTTGTAATTTTTAAAATAATGTAATTCCCATGAACCTACTGAACAGTCAACATGAACAGTGTAATGTCTGTTTCCGGGCTGTTGCCTAGGGCTACGGATACAACAGAAACAAGTGAATCTAATGACACTTTTAGTAGGAGAAGGGCATTATTAAGTCTGACCAACTCTGGAAAGTTTCATCCGTAGCCTAATAGGAAATAGCAATAAACATCAATGTTAATTTCCGTAAAGGACAAATCTGAAGTAAAAACGGCAGATGTCACAAGTGAACCTCCAGTGCCAGTGCTAGAGCTGAGCCAACTGGAGACAGAAAACACTGCCCACCTGAATCTGTCTTCCAACAAAGAGGGAAAATTAAGGATGCAGCTTTGTAAGAGTGAATGTTCAAATCATTTTGAAAGGCTTTCAGTTTGTCAGTTTCACTACAGTAAATAAAGGAAAAATTCTAATCAAAACTTAAAAAGACAAAATAGCACAGAAGTTCCTCTTTTGAATGCCAACAATCTGAACATGACGAAGCAGCAGCAGTGCACATATTGGCTCTTTAAATAGCTCATGTTCTGCAAGTTCACAAAGGAAAGACAAAGCCATTGACGCTTTTAATTTCCATTCATAAGAAACTGTTTTTCAGAGAAACTTCTTGAGATTTGCGTGTTGGTGATGGCCTTTGTCTAGCCTTCTCAGCAGCAGTGGTCTCTCTACTTAGCACTTGCTGAATGCTTTTCTTAGTGGAGGATTAAGATTGGGATAATACAGAAACTTGGAAGAATGCCATCACAAAAATTAAAAATAAGAAAAGTATATAGAGGGAGGGAGAGTAGAAGGTTATCATGTTGTTCCTAAAAAGAAATATATGAAAAACATAAAATCTACTTCCTTTACATAGATAAAAAGAAATTTCTAAAGCTGAACTATTGAAAGTTAATAATGAAGTAATATTCAAGGTATTTACCATTCAAGAAACAGTAATAAGCATGGCAATCATCCCCAGAGGCAACAATAATTGACATTACTTTGCTCATTTGAGACACCAAAGGTAGTGAGCTTCTGAACATTCCTTAATAAAGCTCACACAGTGCCATCTGGTGGTTGACAGGATACATTATTAAATTTTTCCCAAATTTAAGAAAATCTCCAGTTTGAAAAAATTATTAAAGAAAAGCTAACTTTATCACTTATTTTATTCTTTTTTTAAAAAAAAAAAAAAGATTTATTTATCTTTATTGCAAAGTCAGATATACAGAGAGGAGAGGAGACAGAGAGATTTTCTGTTCGATGATTCACTCCCCAAGTGACCACAGTGGGCCAGTGCTGCACTGATCTGAAGCTAGGAGTCAGGAGCTCTTTCTGGTCTCCCATGCAGGTGCAGGGTCCCAAGGCTTTGGGCCAATCTCGACTGCTTTTCCAGGAAGCGGGGAGCTGGATGGGAAGTGGAGCTGCCGAGATTAAAAGCGGCGCCCATATGGGATCCTGGCATGTTCAAGATGCTAGGCCACTACGCTGGGCCCCATTTATCTTATTCTAATCAACTAGCTTTTGTAATTAATTTCGCAAAGGTGTGTGTTCTCTCTCTCTATCCAGATCTTTGTACTTTTTCTCTCAACATGGAATATTTAGTTCCGTTCTCCCAAGTAAACACCCACTCAACTTCAGAACTCCCTTACGCCTATTTCCACAGGAAGTGTACTCTGATGTTCACCTGGTTCCCCTAACTCAGGATACCTAACTCATACAGCACCCAGACGTCACCCTAGACAGCAATTAATATGTTCCATTCAAATGCATTTGTTGACATCTGGATTTCTAAAGTAAAGCAATTTGAGGATAGCTTTTCGTTTTAATTTTTTAAATTAGCTTAAAAGAAAGAAAACAGAATGGCAGTAAGAATTCCCTTAACAGCCAGGGCTAGAACAGAACTAAGCTGGAGCCTGGAACTCAGTCAAGTTCTCCATCATGGGTGGCAGAGCTCCAGGTGGTTGAGTCATTACTTGCTGCCTCCCCAGGTACACATTAGCAGAAAGACGGAACGATGAATCCAACCCAAGCACTCTACCAAGGGACATGGGTGTCTCCTGCATCAGCTTTAACAGGACATCAAATGCCGAAATTGACACTGTGCCTCCAGTACATATAATCTCTCTTAAAACAAAGTAAGCAATCAATATGTAGCATTAAAGTGTTATAATTTTTTCAGAGCCATCACAGTATTTGTGCTGTGTGATTTCATTATAGGATAGTTAATGTTCTCATCAGAAAGCACAGTAATTGAGAAATACTTTAAAAATGTGACTCAGAGCAGGATCTAATGTCTCTAAGAGTTCCCTGGCTGATTCTTTAATTGTAACAACCCTTGGTCTCCCTAGAACTTATTTTCATGGCATTCCAGACATTAAAAAAAAAATCTACCTCGTGTGAAACTAAAAAAAAAAGAAAATTAAAATACAGATAGAGCACTTGTTTGGCATAATTTGCAAGACTCCAAGTCCTGGACCCACTCTTTTCCTGAATATTATCGACGAAAATATAACACTAAAAAATTCTTTCTTTCTCTGAGTAACTACATCTCTCCTTCTCTCTAGGAGAAAATATGATAATTTTAGCCAAGAGCAATTCCAAACAAGTTAATGAAATAAGACTCAGGGAAAGCACTCTACGTAAACACAAGATGCTTTAGATACAGGAAGAGCACACCGGTTGTTTTTCCTCTTCATATTGTGTTCTATAGCATATCATACTCAAAAGAGTACATGCTCCAATGAACACACACACAGTGAAAATATCACTATAATTATAAAACTGTAAATATAAATGTGATCACATCAAATATTAATATAAACTATCAAAGAAAAAGCATAATTTCATTTTTCATTAGGAAGAAGTCACTAACTTATATAAGACAGGTCTGTCCTGCAGTGCTTCCATTGCCTGAGTTAGTACCGGTGATATGTCACAGGATTCATGCGTCAATGTTCTGCATTCACCTGAAAAACAATTAATGTTACAACTCATTACATTAAATTAAATCTATCACAACCATCATATACCGTCTAAATTTTGTGTCAAAAATCCCTTGAAAAAATGTGCTCAGAGATTCTGCAATTAAAAACTAATTTGTGCTGTTAACTAGAAATGTAAACTTAAGCAGTTACATGACTTTATATGAACACATATCCTAACAAGTACACCCAAACGCATATTTTATCACGATGAAAATTCAGTTCTGAATAATCAAGAAACATTTAGTGAATAATGGCCATACACAGAGGAGCAGAGAAGTACTAAAAATAAAATTCCTTCTCCCAGGAGCAACTCTTAAGCAGTTTTTTAAGCAGTTTATGTGGGGAACTGATACCTCAAGAGAATTGCAAAATTATTCAAATACTGAACCCTTAAAAATCTCTACTGCAAAGTTTTCCTTACTGTTCTAATTTTATCTGTAAAATGCCACAAGAACTACTATCGTCGAAGAACTTAGAACTCATTTATAAATCCCCAGTCTTGCAGCATACAAGAATTTCATTCTAGCAATATGTTCCCCTAGCATGCATGAATGATAAAACACACATACACTAAATTAAAGAAATCCTTACAAACAATCCCATGATTCCCAAGTCAGAGGTCACTACATGAAGTGCTATGGAAGTACAAAAGAATCTCAAGCAATGGCCCTGCCTTTGAGAAGATGGAAACTCACAAGAGAAAAGGCACAAACGTGAAAAGTTGCATAGTTACTTAGTATATTGAATGTTAAAAACATATTTCCAGTGACTGATGTTTAGAGATGGAAAAAGTCACTGTTTTAGTCCACAGCCACTGGATAGCTCCAAGAAGATTCAGAACCTAAAAGCCGTTAAGACGAAAGTTCCAGACAAGCAGAGAAAAAGCCAGACAATACTCCAGGAAGGAGGAAACACTGAAAATAAAAGCAGGAAATAGACAGTTTGAACAGTATGAGGCTTTCAGACCAGAAACTAGGAAGGCCACAGTATACTACAAGTCTAAGTAGTTACTTGGATTTACTTACAGCTCTTTACACCAGTTGGTAACCACAATGAAGACGCCATGTGCTCCCATTCCACTCTTGCTTAACCATCATCGCTGGTTTTGATGGACTATTTTGCAAACAGTCCACTGCAACACTGCTTTTGTGTTAACCAAAATAATGGGCCTCCCCAAAGATGCCCATTTCCTAATCCCTGGAGCCCTGTGAACATGTTACATAACAGGACAAAAGCAATAGCTGGTAGACTTTAAAATAGGATTTTTTTCTCAGATTACCCTTAAAAAAGAGGAGGTTGGAAGAACAACCAGTCATAAATAAGGAGCAGTCCAGATCAAAGTGATGTGACACACTGCTGCTAGCTTTGAAGATGGGTGAAGCAGGGCCACAGTTTAATGCAGGCAGCCTCTGAGGAAACGTCCTCACCAACAGCCTGCAAGGAAACTTAGCCTTCAACCTGACAATTGCAAAGCAGGGAACTCCATGAGCAAATAAACAAACAAGGAAGCAGATTATCCCTTCAAACCTGCAGAAACAAATGTAAGGCTGTCAACACTTACTGTACTGACAAATCCAATTTTTGATCTAATAACATTGAATTTATGTGGTTTTAAGTCATTAAGTTTGTGGGGATTTAGTACAATGATAACAAAGTTAATTCATTATTTATACACTCCTAATTATACAAGCAAGAGGTGGCCATTCAAGATAATGAAGAACAGAAATACAATCTTCATTGTTTTATTCTCATCCGTAAGGATACTATTTGGCTGACAGTACAGGTTGATGAAGCAAAGACAGTAGGTACAAATGTTCTCTTTTAAAATACTTATGATTACCAAAACCAAAGTATAGCAAATAAAGGCCAAATGAAAACTTTTTAAATCAAATACTACAATTCCTAAACTTAATCAGTATTAAAGAAATCACTTACTTTGAGCCCATCGGTAAAGTCTTTCATAAGCTGTTTCTTGAAGCAAGGCCATCTGTTCCATAATTTCCAAACTAAAAACAAAAGACTTGTTAAAACTTCAACTTGTAGTCAACAGCTTCTTGCAAGCATATAACTATTTTGGTTAGTTTTGGAATGACTTAGTTTCAGTCTACTAGCTTTCTATATTATGAAATGGCTTGTTTCAGTAATCAGTAATGTTTTGCAATTACATGTCAAATTTAATATCATCACTTTCTGATAAGCTGCTGCTTCAGCCCATGAACATATTTCAGGTTCAGAGGCTCCTTTACAACGTCCTCCTTTTCCAGAGATAAATGAAGATTAAACTACTAATTGACAAATGGTCCAAAGAGCCTAGAATATCTGCAGAATTCTGGACATACACACAACCATGCAAAGCAGTCACTCACCCTGCTGTTTGCTGGTTCGTACGCAGGAGAACTTTGATGTCATTATGAATCTGTTTTACTCTTCCCAATGCCTTGAAAAAATCCTTTAAAATTAAACATGTGACTTTTAAATGTCATGCTTTCAACCACAAATACATTACCCTGAATTAAAAGGTTATGGCAAACGAAGGAATCCTTTCACCTATTCTCTTTTCATAGTGGTCTGAACTTTTAAAATGTTTTAAAGAAAGCATACCACGTATTTATTCATATTTCAAAACACACATTAATGCAATGTCTACTACGTACAAAGCTGGAGACATACAAAACGATTATTAAATACATAACAGCTGACTGATCACAATGTGACAATGGCAGTTTTTTCATTTAGAAACAATTATTGGAGCCTTCTTAGTTTCCACAATGCTATCAATAATATTCAATCATGACAATAACATGTTATTTTTCTTTAATGAATAATTTTTTAAAAGTCATAGTAATGAAAACAAAATACAACATAACTATAAGAAATGAAGGGGATAAAGGCCTTAGAGTTGTGTACTGCTTCTGGGTGGACAGAAACACCACAAAGCGTACTCTTTTTAACTGTAGATTTAGAATACAGAAGTCACCAAAAAGCAATCAACAAACTGGCTAACTGGCTGAGAATTACTGCTTCCTTAGAGGTACACACTTTCATTACCATCTCCCTTGTGCTGTTTGTCTTCAACCAAAATGCAAATGCTATTCTGAGGTGGGGAAAAACCTTAAAACGTACCTCAGTCACAGGTCCTTCTCTGGTGCCACGGAGCAGACCCATTTCCTCAGAAGTCAACTGGAACTTGGACAAGAAGGCATCAGCGACCTGTGCTCGGATTTCTAGTCTTTGACTATAATGTTAAAGATAAGGAATAAGAATCAAGGATGCAATGCATTTGGATAGCGTTAAGACAAACTGTATTTCTGACACAACAACTTTTAAAACGAAAGTGTGAAAAATTCTCAGCATCTTCAACGGCCTGCCTCTGCTCCCAATAACCAGGACACTGGCAGGCATGCGGCAATAACATTAGTTTACACTGTTCTGTTCAAACGCTGGCAGACAGTGAAGGAGTTACTCTATAGAAAAGGTCATACACTGCCCTTAGAAAAGAACGCCTTTGCTAATCCTTCATAAACAAACAGGATGCTTTCACACTGTAGTCTCCCCCGCACATTTCTACATGTAAAAATTATCCTTTGAATTCTAGGCTCTGAATGCAACCTACCTAAACTCGCTGACAACCGGGAAAAGACATATGTTAGTCCTGATTGGCATCTTTAAGGCTCCAAGTGCTGAGCTAAGTTCACACTATCAAAAAGCAACTGAGAAACCTCAACTACCTCATCAGAAGCTCACCTCCTGCCTTTTATACCTGAAGATTTACAAATAAAATCACCAAAGTGCTTCAGTGACAATACACATACAGTCAACACAAAGTAGTAACACTGCACAACCAACAGCTTCAAGTAAGAATGAAGACAAACACAACACTAATTATACGAGGGCACAATGTATCCGCCAGCCTTGCTTTGTTTGCCCTTTTGCAATGAGAGGTTTTTAATTTAAAGCAAACGTTCCTGCTTTTGATAGGAAAACAAAGTTACAGAGGATAAGTCCTCTGGATGTCCATAATAAATGATGATCTCATCTAAATCCACACAAATGTAAACAGCATATGCTCTAAATCATCTTATTAACAGGATCAATTACTTGCACATGATTCATACTCCTAAGTCACTGTCAATCACTATCACCTAGTATTTAAATTCTTTAAACTTCAAAAAAGGGGCTGGTGCTGTGGCATAGCATACTAGTCCTCCACCTACAGAGCTGGCATCCCATACAGGCACCAATACATATTCCAGCCGCTCCACTTCCACACCAGCTCCCTGCTTTCAGCCTAAGAAAGCAGTAGAGGCTGGCCCAAATCCTTGGGCCCCTGCACTGATGCGGAAGACCCAGAGGGGGCTCCTGACTTCAGATCAGCCCAGCTCTGGCCATTTGGGCAGTGAGCCAGCTGACAAAAGACCTCTCTGTCAAATCTGGCTTTCATATAAAAATAGTTTGTGAAAAAATTTTATAGAATTTATTGAATCTATTTTTTTTAAGATTTATTTTATTTTCATTAAAAAGTCAGATATACAGAGAGGAGGACAGACAGAGAGGAAGATCTTCCATCTTATGATCCACTCCCCAAGTGGCCACAATGGCCAAAGCTGAGCAGATCCAAAGTCAGGAGCCAGGAGCTTCTTCTGGGTTTCCCATGCAGGTGCAGGGTCTCAAGGCTTTGGACCATCCTCAACTGCTTTTTCAGGCCACAAGCAACGAGCTAGATGGGAAGTGGGACTGCCAGGATTAGAACCAGAGCCCATATGGGATCCTGGCACATGCAAGGCGAGGACTTTAGCCTCCAGGCTACCAACTAGGCCCTGAATCTATTTTTAAAATCAGTTCACTAAACACAAAAGAAAAATCAGTCTCTTTTTATTAGCTCATTTTACCCTAACAGAAATTAGTGTTACCCTTATGGATGATACTGCTTAAACACTAAAAATTTTCCCAGCATTATGTCTCACCGGAAAATATAACCCATGGAATAAATACAAAACCCTAGAAACCAGTACAACAAAAAACAAAGTCCAAAAACATTTTTAACAAGATCTATACCACTAAAACAGGCTTTATTTTCTCAAGATGACAACTTTCAAAGCAACAAATATAAATGCATTGTTTGCAGAGATCTGCTGATCTATTCTCTAACCACAACCACCAGACCTAGAAAAGGCCAGCACCTGCAGCCAGGACTCCCACATGAGTGTTAGAGTCCCAACCACTTGAACTATTACCACAGCCATCATCACTACTCAGGAATACATAATTTTCCACGATCAGGTAGTATTTTTCCTTCAATGAACGTGGTATGGTTTTCCTGAAACTATCTAATGCTGAGAAGGGTTTATTATAACAGACATCTCCATATTCTGCTGATTAGAAATATAAATTAAGAGAAACATTTTGAGGAGAAATTAGGCAATATATATCAGAATATATTCAAAATGTTTGAGCTTGGTTCACTTAATACAATTCTAGAAAATCAACCTGGGAAATAATGCGAAATGTACATTATGATTTCAAAAAATTTGCCAAGCCACTATTTTTGGTAAACAATACATTCAATAATGTAAGAATGGCTAGATATATAAAACCTCTAAAAATTACATAGGAGCATGATTATAAAATATTACATGAAAAAGTACTCTACTACTGCACCAAAAAAACTCACCCTAGAAGTGGGGAAAGCACCAAAATATAAACTGGTAATATCTGAATGGCAGAGTTAACTGTGATTGAAATTTCTTTAAATTTAATGCATAAATATAGAGTAACAAATCTAAAGAAAAAAGTACTTTGTACACCTAAGAGATCACTTTTACCTAATTTATAAAAAAAAATTTTTTTTTAAGTAACAAAGTAACTTGTACTGACAGAATTTTAAATCATCTAAGGCATGGTTGCTAATAACAATTTTTAAGGAAATGTATTTTTGGAAGAGTTCCCTAGGAACTAAAATAATAAAGAAGGAGGGGAAGGAAAATGGAGAAGAGGAACAATTTTCCATCTTATATTTCTATAACATATCAAACTGAAAGAATATTTAAAGAAAAAAAGACTAGTTAGAAAGTACATTCACGGTAGGTGTCTGCAGGAGGAATTAAGCCATTTTGACAGCAGAACCCAGTTTGGGAGTCCTTGTTTTGAGTCTCAGCTTCTCCACTCCCAACTCTGCTTTTGGTTAATCTGTCTCCTGGGAGGCAGCAGGCAATGACTTGAATACTTTTGTCCCTGCCACTCACACAGCACATGAATTGTATTCCAGGCTACTGGCTTTGGCCTCACTAGACCTGGTTGTTGTGGGTATTCAGAGAAACAAACCAGTAGATATGACATCTCTCTTCCTCTGTCTTTCAAAAAAAATGAAAATAAGCTTCAAAATGAAAAAAAAAAAAGTAGTCAAAGTCCAAAGTCCATAATGTCCATCAAGCGTTTATAATTGCAGAGCACAAGTGCCAGAGTGTAAAGAAGGAAGTGACTACTTGTTTCCCTGGTGACTGAGTAAAGGTTACTAGACAAACATGGAATATAACTAAATAACAGAACTGTCAAGTTGAATGACGAATTACAATTCCTATTACATGGGCCTAGTGCTGTGGCACAGCAAGCTAAACAGCTGCCTATAATGCCTGCATCCCAATATAAAAGTACCAGTGTGATTCCTGGCATCTTTGCTCCTGATCTAGCTTCTTGCTAATGCGCGTGGAAAGGCAGTAGGTGATGGCCCAATAGCTTGGGTCCCTCGCCACCCACGTGGGAGACCAGGATGCTTTTCTTGGTTCCTGGCTTCAGCCCAGCCCCGGTCGTGATGCTGTGGCCATCTGAGGATTGAATCAGTAAACTGAAGCACTGAAGTGTGTTCTCTTGCTCACTCTCGATTCTCTCTCTCTCTCTGTTGCTTTGCCTTTCAAATAAATCTTTTTAAAATTCCACAATCTGAGCTATTTTTCAAAGCAATACTTTGTTCAAAACACATATACATACAAATATATACATTCACAAGGAACATATATACACATATGTACATGCACAGTTGCCTGAAATTCTGATACTTTGTGAAATGGGTAAACAGGAGGAATTTAAAAGAAGAGTTTTAATAGATGCCTTTTGGGAAATACCACTACAGGCTCCATACTGCAGTGAGCTATTCTGGACATTTAGGGAAGAACGCTTTCTCTTTGTGTCTCTTTTTTTTTGTCATTGAACCTTTCAAACAAAAATTATTCTCTGAAAAAAAAAAAAAACAGTATTAAAGCAGAACAGATAATCAAACATTTGAAGAAAACCATTTTGTCCACCTTATTTATGTATTTCTTATTGAGAACTTTTGGTTTTCTTGACCCTATGTCACTTTTAAATAAATAATTCCAATTTTCTCAATCTTGTATCATTTTTTAAGATGTTTCAATATCCTGATCATCATCTGTAGTACTGTCTAAAACTCAATTCTACTATTAATTTCCTACAACTTTTCATACTTTGTATCACTCGCAATTTTTCATGTGTAATCACCCAATTTGCAGAATCTTTGATTAAATGGTGAAGATCAAAATATTGAAGGGAAGCCCTGAGAAGTACAAAAATCTACTTGTGAATCAACATCAACTGATTAAACACCAATACGGCGATAGGACTATCCAACCACCTACAAAAACAACTTACACAGAACTATCAACACGACAAAAGAAGATGAAGTGTCACAACCTAATTTCAATTACTTAGCCTGATCACTCCCAACTGCAGAACTCTAAGGAAGACGCAAAACTGCTGTTTCTCTGGCTTGCAGAAATCATAATACAAGTAAATTTTACTAAGAAGATAGGTGGTTATTAAAAAAATGAATAAGAAGCATGAATTTTGCTGAAAGTTCAATAAAACTTTCATGCTTAATTTTAAGGCTTTACCTGGCATGAAGAAGAATGAGAATGAATTTTAAAAATGAGAACATAAAAAATTTTATTTGGTATTCTATATTTCAACTAGTATTAAAAAATAGGCAATATTCTGATACTGTCAAACTCTTTTTTATTCAAATAAAACCTTCCACATTATTCTATAAAATAAATAAAAGTGAAAGTTGTCTAATATATCAAATGAGTAAAAGTAATTTTGGGGTATAACACTCTAACTTCTAAAACTCCATATTCTCCCACTTCTTCAGAAAAAACACTAACATTTAATGTACTACTTAAAAACTACAAGTCTAGGATGTTCCAACATCCTAAAAGGCATATCCCACATTTTTAAAAAAATGTTTCTTTTATTTCACTGTTTCCTAAGGAAACCATTTTTAAGTGGTAATAGTTAATGACATTTTACTTTGTTCATTTGGACAAACAGAATTTGCTTCATGTTTCTATAAAATAAGTGTTATACTAGAATACCATCTTAACTTAAAAGGATCATTCCTACTGATCTGATTCCCATCTAGCAGTAAGATCCCTAACATCGTATTACACAATTACCTTTATATTTCTGCACTTTATAACTTCCCATTTATCATATGTTGTCTAAACAGAACTGTGTTAGGAAGGATTAAGTGAAGGTCTCACATAGTGGCTCAGTGGCTGAATCCTTGTCTTGCACATACTGGGATGTGGATGCTGGTTCGCATCCCAGCTGCTCCACTTCCCATCCAGCTCCCTGCTTGTGGCCTGGGAAAGCAGTCGAGGATGGCCCAAATCCTTGGGACCCTGCACCCGTATGGGATACCTGGAGGAGGCTCCTGGCTCCTGGCTTTGGATGATCAGCTCAGCTGTAGGTGTTGCAGCCACTTGGGGAGTGAACCAGCAGATTTTAAGATCTTTCTGTCTTTCCTTCTTTCTGTATATCTTCCTTTCCAATAAAAATAAATAAATCTTGACAAAATTATTTAAGTTATTTTAAAAATTAATTAGGGTAATATAAATAGAAAGTGATTAAGTATTATATTGTGAAGTCTGAGTTTCTGCCTCTTATTTTTGATTATGATTGAAACAGTCTGAGAAACACTGCACCGGGCAGTGACAAGACATCCATCACTTCTCATTTCACATGCTACTTTTGACATTTTTCCATATTTTGCACTTAGTCCTTTTTTCTTTTTAAGAAGAGTTAAGTTAGAGTTATAAGCCAGTTTAGACTACCCTAAAATCTGCCAACTTCAGTAAAAATTATGCTTGAACACTATAAACTGGACTTGTAGTTCAGCAACACTAGCTTAAAGCTGGTAATGTGGCACAGAGGGTAAAGCTGGCATCTGCACTGCCAGCACCTCATATGGGCACAGGTTCATGTTTCAGCTGTTCCACTTCTATTCCATGTCCAGTTCCCTACTAATATCTTGGGGAAAGAAGTGGAAGAAGGCTGAAGTGTCTGAGCACAGGCTGCTCACGTGGGATACTCCTGGCTTCAGCCTGACTCGGCTCTGGTCATTGCAGCCTTCTGGAGAATGAACCAGAAGAGGAAAGATACGCTTTTGTATCTCCCTATCTACAATTATGACTTTAAAAAAAGTAATTAAATCTTCAGAGTAAGAAATCACTAGCTTGAACAAGACCAACAAACTTTTCCTTAATAGTTGACACAATAAATATCTTGGGCTTTGTAGGCCATGTACAATCTGTCAAAGCTGTTCCCCACTACTACACAAGGGTATAAAAGGGTGCAGCCTGTCACAGACAATCCACAAGAAAAGTGTGCTTGCCAACACAGGTGGTGAGCTGGACTTTTTAGGAGCTCAGGTCTGCACTGACTACACCAAGCTACGCTATACTATATTCAGCAACTTTACATTAAGCAGTTAAAGTATCAGTATCTCTAAATATCCAGGGTATCCAAAACTTAAGGGGTTTACTCAAATACAATAGTAGATCATTTTCCCTTCCAAGGTATAATGTTTTATTACTCCAGACATGATGATGCACGACTGAGTTTGTTTAACTGCTAACGAATTTAGCAATAGTCAACACATTACACTAATCTACATAGCACTACCTTTGTTCATTCAGTTAATCAATCAATGATGTGTCTACTTGGATAAACCATAAAAATAATTTAGAAAGTATGCCAAATGCAATTAATCATACTTTAGAAAAATAAGATAATGATTATGAAAAACAGTAAAATACTAAATATTAATATTTATACTATTAAGCTATATTTATACTAATGTAAATACTAAATATTAAATACTAAAAAACCTAAAAATCTACTTTAAAAAGCAATTGTTTCTGAACTCAATATATTATCTCTATTCCAAAGAGAAAATAATCTCTCAAATCCAGTAAGTTTAATGCTCCTAAATTTACTGTTTTGTTTTTATATAACCAAGTGACAAATAGCATTTTTCATATTGTATCAATTTTGAACCATGTTTCTTATTCATCTGCTTTAACTTTGATTTGGAACTATCTGTAACTTACTTTCTTCTTAATATATAAATAAAGAAGTAATAATATGAAAAAAGCCTTACCTTTCAGCCTGAAGCTTAGTAGTTTTCACTATCAAATCTTGAGTTTGTTCCTTTGCTGCCTAGAATTATAAGCATATCCAGCATTAGTACATTCCAGGTTTACTATGTCAGAAAACCAGCATTCCCATATCTTAGAGTTCAGATTTGGAGCAAATGGAATCACTCTCTGGAACTCAAGAGCTTAGAGACCATCAGAACTAAAACTGATATTTCAAGGCTTACACACTAATAAGAGGACCTTGCCTGGAGTTCTCAATATACACATACGTAATGGTAGGGCTTACAGAGAGCAATGCTGCATGAGAAACTAATTCATGACTACTTTTAGTAAAAGAGAAGCAATAGAAGAAACTAAAGAACATGACTGCAAACTGAACCAAGAGAATATAAGACTTGTAAATGGGGTAAATAAGCTACTGAAGTACTGGTGCATAACTCAAAAGGAATATTCAAGATAGATACAAGATGGAGTCACAAATTACCTGCCAAATAAGGTTGCACCGGCAATTGGAGACAGCCCAATCTGAAGGACACAAGGCTGCCTCTGACAAAGAACATCAAGGATCAAGACGGAAAACTTAGGTTAAAAAATAAAAAGGCATTTAATTCTAAGATTAACCAAATTTGAACAGATAAGGGTAGCTGATAAGAGTCCCTGAAAGATCTCAATGAGAGAAGATGACAAAAATAAAGCAGTAAGCAAAAAGGAGTGGTTATGAGGCAGAGATAGATGCTCCATGTCTTGAAGGACATTCAGTGAGCAAGAATTATATACACATTAAGGCACCAGTGAGTGGAAACTATAAAGCAGACAAAAAGTGTGCCAAGAGAGTCAGTTGTAACAGAAAGGCTATCAAAACAAAAAGATCAAAATAGTGTTCATTCTCATTCTAGAGCAATGCAAGAGCCAATCTTTTGCTACTAGGCTTTCTACAATGGCCTCAGATCTAAATGCCAGACATTTTTGTTATTGCAGGTCTTATCCATGCACAAACTTTAGTCTCAGACTGTCAGATCCACATCTGCCTTCACACCTCCATGGCATCCTCATACCAACAGCACCATCCCACCCCTGGTGATGCGGTTTTGAGTCTGTATTTCTTGCAATCAAATGATGCGTTTGACAAATATCACTATTTTTTCAAAAACAGATTTGATCCTAGATCATTCAGCAGTCTTCTTAAATTCAGTAATAAAACTGAACACGATGGATCTCAAGAGACCCTACTGGAGCAATCACTCTTCCAATCCAGTAAATCTGGTACATCTAATTCCTAATACCATCTGTTTTATAAAGTCCCCCTCACTGTTGCAAATTCGACCCTTGTGCGATTTTTTTTTTCAAATATAGTATTTACTCATTTCTTCAATACATGTCTCTTCATATTTCTGAAAAAACACTTCACAAAATCAATACCAAAAAATACTTACTAGTTTGGTTTTAAATCCAGTCATCACTACACTGAGTGTATATTATATTTAATACTATCTGATAATCACTGAATACAACATTTCAGTACAATGCTGTGCAGTAAGAATTTAAAGCAGTTATTGCATATTTTCTGAGTCTCCATTTACAAACTGTATTAATTCTGCGATACTGTTTAATAATACTAGTGAAGCTTATTATCTGAAACAATGTTGATTTATCTTAAATATTAAGATTACTATTCATTAGGAAATACATGCCTCAAAATCTAATTTACAAAGCCACAATGAAAAAAAATAATATGTTCAAGATTACTAATTAAATTTTTATATCTCATTATATTAATATCTAAAATACTCCATATATTCAAAGTATTTTGGAAAATAATTAAGTGGTTAAATTAAACCTTCAAGCATGTATATTAGAAAAGGGGAGTGGGTACACTTTTAAATGCTTTATGAGTGAATTAATTAAAAATATCATTCAAGTGATAATAGTATGAGTGGATACTGTTAAGATTCCACTAACACTATACTCAAATAAATTAGTTTTAGGAAAAACTAAATAATTATCTTGAAAAGAATGCAAATATATAGTGCCTGGCACTATAACCGAGTGGCTAAAGTCCTCGCCTAGCACGCACCAAGATCCCATACAGGCACTGGTTCTAATCCTGGAAGGCCCACTTCCCATCCAGCTCCCTACTTGGGGCCTGGAAAAGCAGTTGAGGATGGCCCAAAACCTTGGGACCTGTACCTGCATGGGAGCTTGGAAGAAGTTCCTGGCTCCTGGCTTCGGAATGGCTCAGCTCCAGCCATTGTTGCTGCTTGAGGAGTGAAACATCAGATGGAAGCTCTTCCTCTCTGTCTCTTCTCCTCTCTATATGTCTGACTTTCCAATAAAAATAAATAAATCTTTACCAAAAAAATTATGATTTAAGTGATACTACTACTAAGAACACAAAGAGCTAACTAATCTATTATAATATTACAAAATAAACACAAGATTCTAATATAGAAAATTCTAACAAGTAGAGAAAAACCTAATTCAATGAAGCTAGAAGAAAATAAAGAAGAAAGAGATTGGCCCAGCAAAATCTCTAAGCAACCAAGTACATGCAAGAAAATGCCAATAATAATTAGCAAAGATTACAAGATTTTTATAGAATAATGATCCAAAAATTAGACTGAGACCATAAATTGACTAATCATATCTGACATATTACTAATATATCAAAATGTACATAAAACAAGAAAAAGTTAAAATCTGAGAAACAGCAAATTGACTAGTTCCAGAGAGATCACAGAAATAGCTTACAATTAATTTGTGGACCTCATAGATGAATGATTCTTGGTAGAATTGCTGCTGTTGTCAATGCTTTCAGGAGAATCTTCAATGTGTAAGCCTGGACTTTAAAAGCGAGGGCAGCAGACAGAGCCATGACTGAACATGAGGAGAAACTGGCTCTACACCTATTCTAGAATCACACGCAATAGGCTAGTGAATCCAATGGCTGAGGATGCAAACTAGAACTTTACTTCTGTCTTAATGAGTAGACTCAAAACTTCTGCAATTTCTTTTTCAGCAAGAACATGAATCAGCATTAAGATGGGCCTGTAAGGTACACCTTTAACTTGAATTTATTCTAATCCTTTCCCCAGAGCGAGGCATTCTTGCTGGACTTCTGGATATTGTAAAACTGAAAGTCCAAAATCTGAGTTAGCTCTCCACTAATGGAACAAAAGTACAAAGGCACTTGGAGATACTAAGAAGTCCTCCACAGAAAGAGTAAGAACAACTAGAGTTTAAAAAGTATCCTAGTCCTACTGAAACTTCCTACAGGGCATGATGCAGCAGATCCCACATATATAATTTACTTTTGTAACAATTTTTGAAAACTTATTTTGCACCAGAAACTATAGCAAAATCTGGCCACCCCATACAGTACCTGTAAGCGGTTTGTCATATCTTGACAACAGCTGCTCATTGCTTGAACATCTTCATTTATGCTTTCAAGTTCCTGAAAAGTAAAAAATTAAAAATAACATCAAATATCCTACACAATGTTAAACAAACAAATTTCATTTCTTAAAACAGAAACTAAATATATATTTCACCTCCATGAATTTTTTTCTTTGACAGGCAAAACAAGAGATCTCATATTTAAAATTAGAAATGAATAAAGAAACTAGTCCATGAGCTGTGTTGTGGCTTAGGGGATTAAGACACCATCTGCAGTGAAGTACCCCACATGGACACCAGTTCATGTCCCAGCAGCTCCACTTCTGATCCAGCTCCCTGATAATGTGCCTGGGAAAGCAGAAAAGCATAGTCCAAGTCCTTGGGGGCTCTGCAGCCATGCAGGAAGCTCCCAGCTCCTGGATTTGACATGGCCCATTCAGCAACTGTGGCCACTTGGGACATGAAGCAGGAGACGGAGTCTCTCTCTCTTCCTCCCTCCTTCTTTCCTTCCATTCCTCCTCCTTTATTTCTAACTCTGTCTTTTAAATAAATAGAATCTTTAAAAAAAAATAAAAACGAATCTACTTTCTTTAGAGGGTACGAATATAACACAAAAACAGTACATGCTTTTGAAAATATGAATACCTCCTTATTCAGAAGTTCTAAAAACGTTCCTATGACCAGAGACTCCACATATTTTATTTAGTTATATTCACTATTTCATAATGTACATACTTCAAAGCATCATTTTGCACAGTAAATGCGCAATTATATCTGTAAATTTATTAACATAAATTTGTCCAACAGAAGTACTCAGTTATGCATGCAATTGTATGATCAACAGTTACATAAATTATTGTACACATTTGTTGTATATAAACGTACATAAATTTGTGTACACATTAACAATGAGAATATGTGTGCATAAGTCTGTGAAAAGACGCCCTCAGAAGGCAAAAAGTCACGAAATAATACATTTCTTAGAAGAAAACATCCAATATGTACAGAAGAACATACACAAGACTACAGAATAAAAGAGTTACGGGTCAGGGCATCAAAAAGAATTGTTCTATTTCTGACACTGACTTCTCTGGAATGAGTTATTTATATATTATAATTAGTGGAAATAGGCGTATTTGAATAAACTAAAAACAGTACCTGAACCTATCTTGTTGCATACTAGATCATGCGAAAAATCTGTTAGGATCTCAGTAACCATGCTCCCTTTTGCTTTCGATCTCCAGCTGCCTCCACAGATGCATGCATTTAACTGGCCTCTATATCCTATTATTTATACTCTCTTAGTGGGAAATTCTCACCCCTTCCCTTGCTTTACTTTGGGTCAACAGCTATCTCTCACACGGACTGATACAAGCAAGCCTTGCAACACATCGCCTGATCTCTTTGTCCTTTATTAACTCTGTCTTAATATGAAAACATACTCACATTATAAAATTGTATTTAGCTAACTCTAAACTATCATCATCTTTTACCAAATTTGATTCAGTGCCATTCAACTGAAAAATATGCAAGGAAGGAACATTTTTGATGAATGGGCTCTTATCGCAGGCCCAGTTAACACAAAGCCCAGACCTTCCAATAGATGCACTGCAGTTCTGGAGCTGGTGCTGTGCCACAGGGAGTTAAGCCTGTGAGCAAAGGCAGCACAGGACAGACTAACTACTTGGGGCCCTGCCACCCACTTGGGAGAACAGGACGCACTGGCTCCTGATTTTAGCCTGGCCCAGCCTTGGCTGTTGCTGACATTTGAGAAGTGAACCAGCAGACGGAAGTTTGCCCCCCACCTCCTTCCCTCTCTTCCTCTGGCACTCTCTTTTAAATAAATAAAACAACTCTTTCTTAAAAAGCACCAGCTTTGTGACTGGAAAGGCCAATAGGGGCAAGAAATACGAAAGTAGTCAGGCATGTTATAAACATTTTGTGAGAACAAGTCACAGTTAGGAAACAACTGATGAAAAACACAAGCATAAATTTTAGTTTTAAAACGAAGAGTCATTTCCTTTCTCTCCTTAAGGTACTTTAATCTATAATCTTGGCACCAGATATTCCAAATGTTACTTTCTGTATTTTACTATAAATGGGATAGAAGTACAATGAAGCTAACTCCTAAGCGGCTTTGAGGTGAACAGTAAAAGCAACACGATTTCAAACTATCACTAATATCTACAGTAGAGAATACCTAAGCAAACTAATCTAATTAATTGTATCAACTAACTAATCTAACTAATCTAACTAATCTAACTAATTGTATCAACCCTGACTCCCAATAATTTACTTTAGCTTCAATGATATGCTGATAAATTTGAGCTGAAAATATAAATTATCCCTTTTAATATATGATGTGAATGCAGAACTACTAAATGTAATTCAAGACTACATGGCTTGTGAGGTCTGTTTGAATTTATAGTAAATTACCTTCTTGTTTTTCCCCAACTAAAAAAAAAAATCCCTAAATTACAGGTAGAAAAATAGAACATGATTATGATCAACTTTCTAAAAACGTTTTATCAACTTTTTACAGAACTGGAAAGTGAGACAATATGAATATCCTTCACTCGGCAATTACCAGCTCATGGGTACTCATCCATTTCTCTACCTGCTGTTAACCTCGCACATTCTCTTCCTCTGTCCTCTGTAAACTACTCTGAAACAATTTCAGCTACCATTTCAAGCATCTACCTATAAGCATGTACTTCCAAAAGAACTTTAGAAAAATAACAATATCATTTCACATCTAAACACTTAACTATAATCTTATAATATCCAAAACCTACCAGTGATCAAAAACCAGTGATATTTTTCAAATAGCTCTTTTTTTATATAAATTGTTTAAAAATCAAGTAAGATACAGTTTCTGTCTTTAACCTTCGTTCTCACTATTCCTATCTTTTTCTTACAATTTATTTGAAGAAACCAGCTCACTTGCTTATATAGTTGTCAACATTCAGGATTTTTCACAGCGCATTTTCACGGTGTTAGTACACCTCCCCAGTATTTCCTGTAAGATGGCAGTGAGATCTATATTCTTGATGATATTGCAGTTCAATTTTCTGGTAGAATTCTTGATGAGTGATGTGTGACTTTCTTAGGAGTCATATGTCTGATAGTTTCTCCTTTCTCTCTCCCTCTCCCCCGCTCTCTCTTTTTTTTTATTGGAAAGGCAGATGTACAGAGAGGAAGATCTTCCGTCCAATGGTTCACTCCCCAAGTGACCACAATGGCTGGTGCTGCGCCAATCTGAAGCCAGGAGCCAAGAACTTCCTCCTGGGTCTCCCATGCGGGTGCAGGGTCCCAAGGCTTTGGGCTGTCCTGGACTGCTTTCCCAGCTCACAGGCAGGGAGCTGAAGGGGAATCAGGCCTTCCGGGATTAGCACCCATATGGGATCCTGGCATGTTTGAGGCAAAAAACTTTAACCGCTACACTATCACACCAGGCCCTGATAGTTTCTCCTTGAAGAAGGCTAGAGATAACCAAGGGTTAGGTCAGTGACTGGCCACCCTAGCAAATTTGTCCATCTGATAGTGTCAAGATCCTCTTGGTAAGAACAGCTAAGGGCAAGGGCAAGGTGACGCTGACCTCTAGTAGAATGCTGGTGAACATCCTAAATAGGAGAAGACAGCCACGGAATTACTTAGCACAAAAATACTTCCAAAATAAGCTAGACCTATAAATTCAACAGTGGTCAAAAAATTTCATCTTCCAATTTTACCATTTCTCCATTTATTAACAGACATTTCCTTTAGGAAAAGTCTCTCATCAGTAACTGTGTGCATTTGTCACAGAATATAAGCACTCGAGTCCCTCCTTTTACTTCAGAGTTTTCAAAATCATAAGCTACAAATTCCCTTATATTTACCAAAGATAACCAATGAAGCTCCTGCTTAATTTTCAGCATCATTATAAACTCACTGGCACTGGTAAGATTGTTCAATGAGAAATGGCATTTAGAGACTACAACCTAGATATGTAAAATGCTATTTCTCTTCCTTTTTTCTATAAGTATTATTATTTTTTAAATTGGAAAGGCAGGTATAAAGACACAAGGAGAGACAGAGAGAAAGGTGTTCCATTTTCTGATTATTCCCCAAGTAGCCCTGATGGCCAGAGCTGAGCTGATCCAAAGCCAGTATTCTCCTCCAGGTCTCCCATGTGGGTGCAGGGTCCCAAGGCTTTGGGCCGTCCTCTACTGTTTCCCCAGGTCACAGAAAGGGAGCTGGATGGGAAGTAAAGCAGCCAGGACACAAACCAGCATCCATGTGGAATCCTGGCAGATACAAGGCAAAGATTTAACCACCAGGCCATCATGTCAGGCCCTTCTGTAAGTATTATAAGCTTTCCTTTCAGTGTTTCAGAGTATCAACCTTCAGTCAATGAAACATTATCAAGATGTTAAGAAAAGTTTCATTAGCACTCATTGAAACCATGTGTAAAACTTCTAGGACTCTGGCTGGCAAGGTGGCCTAGCAGCTAAAGTCCTGGCTTGGAACACGCCGAAATCCCATATGGGCACCAGTTCTAATCCCGGCAGCTCCACTTCCCATCCAGCTCCCTGCTTGTGGCCTGGGAAAGCAGTTGAGGATGGCCCAAAGCCTTGGGACCCTGCACCCATGTGGGAGACCTGGAGGAGGTTCCTGGATCCTGGCTTCGGATCAGCATAGCATCGGCCATTGCGCTCACTTGGGGAGTGAATCATCAGACCGAAGATCTTTCTCACTGTCTCTCCTCCTCTCCGTATAGCTGATTTTCCAATGAAAATAAATAAATCTTTAAAAAAAAAAAAACTTCTAGGATTCAGAGAAATATCATTACGTATTATAATAATATTATACAATAAAATGCAAATTTATTTTCTCCCTATGGCATGTTGATTACACATTAAAACATGACAAATTACTATGTATGAATTGGAGTAATTCATCATTGATGGTTGCTTGAGTAACCCAGAGGGCAGAGCTTGTTTTGAGCCCAATCTCAGGCTGCAACCTGGAAGGACTGAATTCTAGTGGGCCCCTTCGGCAGTGCAATCACAGCTCCACCAGCGAAGGGCTGAAGCTTCCCCAACCAGCCTCCACGTCAGGGGGAGTTTAAAATCCCCTGCCCCCTTTCCTCCTCGCTCTCCTTCCCCTGCAGCCCTCTCCTGCACAGCTGTCTTTCCACTACACGGGGAAGGGAGTCTCGTGACCATGATTTCCTGGAACACGCGCCATCTAAATTCTTCTATATATTCAGCTGAGGTATTCTTTCACTGGTGGTCAGCAAATCTTACAGTCTTCATGTGAGTATTTCACAAGTTATGATGGAGTAAAAGTAAATGAACACCAGTCCATTTCAAACAGAAAAGTGGTTATTCCAGAGAGGTATTCAATGGAAGGATATTCTACTACAAAGAACATTCAGAGAAAGTTATTTTTGTTGTTCTGAAAAGCCTAAAATTCTCAAAGAGAAATCTCATGTTAAAGATGTTACAAGTTTCTAAGAATCAATATTAACGTAAGTCGCAGATTCAGAAACCATACTAACCCCAAATAAAGATCCAGATGCAACAGGAGTAATTTTCTATGTGAACACAATATATTAATAGCAAACATCAACTGAAAAAAAACTTAGCACAGAACCAACCTTATAGTAAGGTCTCAATAAGTGTAAAAAAAGAAAAGAAAAAATTTACATACCTCCTTCACTTCTTTGAAAATGCTTACAAATTCTTCATTGATGGATAAACTTCTGCGTTCAATATCTCCACGTAAATTTCTCCGTGTACGCAAACTATTTTCAACAAAAAAGGCTGAAAGTGCCTTGAGAGCTTCCAACATCTCCTACAGAATTGGTGACAGAAGAAAGTGAGTGGAACTGATTTCCTAATCTCAAACCAAAACCTACTGAAATCACTTCCAAATTACTGGGCTCCACTGTATAATCAAAAAACGACTGGGTCACCTTCAAATTACCAGAAGTCTTATTTCTGGAACATAATAGTACACATAACGACAGGATCCACTACAGAACTGACTGCAATTCCCAAGAGTGGAAATAAGCTAAGTGTCCACCTGGAAGTGACTGATCAAATAAAATATGATTGATACATTTTAAAAGGAAAGAAAAATCTTTACTTACATGAGTTTTGAGAAACAGCAGCTTCCAGGAACTTATAATATCTACTCCTTAGGAATACAAACATGCACATTTATTTGTGCATGCATAAACTATGTCTGGAAGCTTCCATACCATCAGTACCACGGATAGCCTCCACACCAGGAACTACATGCAGAGAAGCAGAACTTAGAGGAACTTAAGAGATGAAGATCTCTCCAAAGTGACTTCTGAACTAAAGCCTCCATGGTGGGAACGAGCCACCCAGAGGGTAAAGCCTGTTTTCAAACGAAAAACCAAAGAAGACTGCAATCCAGTAACACAAAGCCATGGGAAACTATTAGAGGTTTAGGGCAGGCGGGTCATGTAATTTATGCTTTAAAACTTCAAAAGTTTATTCCAACATTGTGCATGAATGGTGGCAGAGGGGCCAGAAAATAAGTATATGCAAAAAGATTTGTCTTTTAAAAAGACAAAATCCAATAGTTTTAAATCAAGATGAAAAGGAGAGATTGCAAAACATTTTTTTTTTTTATGGCAAGGCCTGGGCTACAGGATTTGTTACTGCCTTGAATAACACATACAAAAAAGGGTCAAAACAAAAAAATTACTTGTATGATTTCTGCTTGAGTGAGTCAATGCTAACATTCTTTACTTAAAAGAAATTAATATTCTTTACTTTGAGCAAAGAAAGAGATCTGTTTATGTCTTTACGATATCCATCAGGTGTGCACCTGAAGTCACAAAAGAAACAAAGAGTTTTCTTGCAAAGAATATGGATAGAGGAGAGAGCTGTAGGGTCAAGCCCAGGATTTGCCAATAGCACCTCCAATTCTACAAATACAAATTCTGACCTCAGTGTAGTCAATAAGCTTACTCTTCCATGTTTCCAATAGCAATTGAATCAAAAAAAAGAAAGCTATTACAACTGCACACACTCATTGTGCAGACAACAAAGCCACAAACTAAAATGTCCTTTGATTACAGTCTTGAAATGCCCTAGAGTTTAAAGTTGTCAGTAAACGATCAACAAAATCACACTGACTACACTGAAAGTTACGGCTCCACCAGGTACTGGGTCTGAGACCTGGGCCTAGCTGCTTTCTGCACTCCTTATTTCTCTCATAGGTAAAAAGGGGAGAGTGCTACCCAGTTGTACCAATGAGATCAAACATCACCACTTTTTACATTTTAACAGAATGTAATTCATAATACCCTAATTCAGCAGTTATCTCTGAAACTCCAGGCCATAGCACCCTTCTTTCTTACACACTGCAATGTTACTTTTCTACACACAGGGGTCAACCTCTCATCCGCAGCTTATCTTCAGCGACCCTGTATCTAGAAAGCTCTCACTTTGGCTCGTTTCCTCCTGCAAGCTTGCCATGACCACTTTCCCAGGAGCTCAGGGGAGACAGCTGGGTCATCACGCAGTTTCAGCAGGTGCCTGGGAGAGCCCGCGATCTTCGCGGTCCAGGAGTCCTGCAGGAGCCCACACACCACGGGTCAGGGCGAGCAGCAGTGACCAGCTGCAGGTGGACGTGCTCGCCATCCACCTGCCAGCCCCACTGTGCTCCTGAGGCACTCAGGGACCCCTGCTCGGCTGGCCAGGGCACACTTCTTCCGGAGCTTTCCCCCAGCCGGTCCTCCAAGCGGAGCAAATCCCGAGAAGCCCCCAGGCCTCTGCGGAGGCTCCCTGGCCTCCCGGGCCACGGGACCAGCTCCCTGGACTCCCTCCGGGCTGGGGGCGGACAGGAGACCCCGCGCCGGCGGCTACGGCTACCTTGTCGTTGTCCAGCCGTGTCTCCAGGATCTTATGCAGCTTGCGAGACAGCGGGTTGTTGGACTGAGCCGAGATGCCGCCTGGCCCGTTGTTGAGGCCATTGGCAGCCCCGGCCGCAGGCACGGAAGCCACTTCCCCACTCGTCTCGGCCATAGCGCCACCACCACTCCTCCCGCTCCGAGGCCACCTCAGCGCCGGCTCCTCAGCGGCGGCGCGCGGACTGCGCATGTGCGCGACCTGCCGCGCATGCGCCCCGCTCCCGGAAGGCGGGGCAGCCCTGCTGGGCCGGCTGGAAGAAGATGCTGAGAGAAGTTGTGGGGAGGAACGCAAGGCAGGGCAAAGCCCGTCAGTGGGAGGAGAGTGTGTATTGTAAGTACAAAAGTACCTTTAAAAGGCATTTTGCAATCCTGCCTCTATAGAACTTTGTGCTATTGACAGTGCATATGTAAAATACACCGAGACCTGAACCTGACCGTAAAAGTTGATTCTGATTAAATACACCATATATGAGTCCGTTTTTAAAAATCAGGTATTAAAGGCATACCATGTGCCAGGTATTCTGTGTTGAAGGTTATCAACAAAAGCTTATTTGTAGGCACCTGTTCCATGACTGTGAAAGTTGAGTCCCCTCGTGTCAGCTGGGCAACAAATGCATCACCAACTTGGCTTCTATAATCCTCGTGTCCCATCTGGGTTGCTGTAACAAAATACTATCTCTTAGTAGTTTATAAATGGCAAATGTCTGTCTCACAATAACGGAGGCTGGGAACTGCAACTTCACAGTACTGGTAGATTGTGTGTTCTGTGAGAGCCTATATCCTGGTTCGTGTTCAGTAACATTTTCTCTGTAACCCAACTCAGCAGAAGTGAAGGGTTCTAAGGCCCTCTGCAGTCTCTCTTCCACCTGCACTGAACACAGGCATGGAGCATCCACACTCATGACCTCCTAAAAGCTTTAGTCTTCTGCTGCCATCATCGCACTACTCTTTCGGAAATGTCTGCTTTCCCAGACCCGCTGAAATTCTGATTGTCTCTTCACATTCCACTCAAGGATCAGTTCTCTACAATTGATTTACAAGCATATTACAGGATTATACATAAATATATTGATGTGTTTGTTGTTTTCCTAATAAGCATTAAGTACCAGAATAGTGGGAACAAGTCACTCATTCTTGCCTTCCAACCATCTAGCATTGCATCGTACACAATAAATGAGTTTGTAGGAAACGTATTTTCTAGTAAAACATTGCATAGCTTTCTAGTTTTTTTTTTTTTTTTGCATCAAAAGAAACTTATTTGGGGCATTGTCCAAACTCTTACTCATTTAAAGGACTAACTATTCTAATGTGTTTTTCTGTTCCACTCAGGTTCAACTCTTTCTCTAGCTGTATTAAATTCTTTCCTCAAAATCATGTTAAGTATTCACTTATTTGTAAAGTGATCACCAACCACCCTTCCCGGTCCTCTACAAAGTCTTATTCAAGAAATGAAAGAAGCAGGGATAAATGTGATTGTCTTCATTTCTGCAGCTGTCACAAAATTCTTGTAGAAGTTTCATCTTTCACATTATTCCTTTGCCTTTAAGTATTATAAGCTAACCAAAATTCTTAAACTGCTGAGAGGATTCAAACCATCACACCAAAGCACCTGGCCTTTCGTGTTTCAGCCTGCATTCAGTGACTGCAGTTTCCTTCTAATTTTTCTCCAGAACCTCACAGTCCGATTAACTACTTAGGTATTCCATTGCGTCTTCCCTTATTCCTTCCTGCCTTTACCATAAACAAAAATACACTTCTGCACTCCAGTCACTCACACAGTTACATCACTCCCTTTTCCATCCTTTTATGCAGCACCATAAGAAGGTAAAAGCCGGCAGTTCAATGGACCGTTGTTGCCACCAAGTTCCCTGTCTCAGGACCCTCACACTGTTACCACGAGGCACAGGCTGTGCCAAGCAGAGGCATCTGTTCTTACACTTTGAGGAGGTGACAGACAACTTAGAGTTTCTGGGGCAGCATCAGTCATGGTCCAAAAGTTTTGAGACAAGAGGAAAAAACTGCAAATACATAGTTTAGTAAGAGGAGCCCTTGTTACCCATCTCCATTTCTCACTAGATCACTTGTGAGGGGATGTGAGAAAGTTTGTGAAAAAAAAAATAGATTAAAACATTAAAATAAAAGTTACAAGTTTTGTTTCTCAATACCAGCTCTATCAAGTTGAAGACATTTTAGCAAGCACTTATAGTTTTATCTGGAGAAAAATCAATGCCCTTTAAAGATATTTTAATATTTGGAAACAAAAGGAAGTCAGAAGGAGCCAAACAAGACTTGAAGGTGGATGCCTAATGATTTCCATGGACATTCTTACAAAAGTCATGTCTGGTGAGAGGAATGATTATGAACAATGATAATGATCTAACTGATAAAGGATTCCCATGTAACTCTCTGCTAAAACTGTAACTAACTTCCTCAAAACCCTCTACCCATAACCAGAGGTTATTATCCTTTTACCGCCCCCCCCACCCCAGAAAGTCAATAAAAGATGCCTTGAGTATCCTCCAAAATGCTACCATAAAGACCTTTGCTCCTGAAGTGTTTTGCTTTACCCAGACTACCTCCACTTCTAGGGGCCCTCCACTTCTAGTTGCTTGGACAAGGCTTTGTCTTCAGGATCACACTGGTGAGGTCATGTGTCACTTCCTATTACAGTTTGCAAAGAATTGTTTTGCTTTCTAGTCTTGAGCCCATGTATTAAAATTGCTGCTGAAAATTTGGCTCCTGTCTGCAAATGCCACAGGTATATTACTTCAAGCAGCTACCAAGGAAAAAGTTCATTTGCCTTTAATTTTTTGGTAAGAATTGAGTAAGCTGAACCAATTGCTGTCTGTGGTATTGGCTATTGTCCTTGCTGTTTTACTGTCAGTTCATCTCAGGAAGGGTATGAGCAAGATTAATTTTTCTTGGCAAATTCATGGGAATGATCTGCTGCAATAAGTTTCACCTTGAACATGGTTCCATCCCTTCTTAAATGAGTCTGTCTGTGTGTAAACTGTTGATTTGTTTGGGCATTGCCCTCACAAACTTTTCATGAAGTATTAGTGATTTTATTATCATTCACCTCAAGTTTAACCTCAAATTGGATGATTGTTTCTGCTTTGGTTTTAGCAGCGTTCATGGTCCTCTGAAAGGAGGCTTTGTCAAACTGATGCTCTGTTCTTTTTAATTCTTCAAGCTATATCATGTTCATACATACATGTAATAACATGCTGCTGAGAGTTAATTTTGTTGCAAAAAAAATAAAATGTTGTTGGTTCACTCCCCAAATATCCAGAATGGCCAGAGCTGCATCAGGCCCAAGACAGGAGCCAAGAACTCCATTTGGGTCTCCCACATGAGGAACAGGGATTCAAGCACTTGCACTATGTTCTGCTACTCTGCCAGATTAATTAACAGGAACAACCCATGGACTCAAACTAGCACCCTGGCAAAGGATGCAAGTGTCTCAACACAAGCTTTACTTGCTATGCCAACAATGCTGGCCCCTAATTTTGGAGACTTTATAAGTTTACTAGGACAGCAGAGAAATGGAGAGAGAATGAGAGAGAAAGATCCAGATCTCCCATGTACTGCCTGGGACAGCAAGGGACTGAGTCACCCCCAAGGAAAGGGCTAGAACTCTGAGTAGATCCCCCATGTGGATGACGGGGATCCACCCACTTGAGCAATCACCAGCTGTTTTCCAAGATGTGCATTAGCAGGAATCTGAAATCAGAGAGGCAACTCTAATTCAGATACGGAGTAGGGGTGCCCCAGGCAGCATCTTAGCCAAGATGCCCATCCTTTCTAAACTATCTGTAGCTCTTTCCCATAATGGAACACACATTAGGATGCATGAACTTCAAAGCTATGTGCTCCTTTTTTTATTTCTGGAAAGCAGTTTCCTGGGTAACTGGCAATATTGTGTGTGATGTGGAAATTATTGTCAATAGGCGATAACAGAAGGCGGCAAGAATTTAAGAATAATTCTGGATTAATTTTAATAGAAGCCTTTCTTCATGATGGGTGAAGTCTAACATAGTTCCAGCTTTTGTCAATACACTAGAGGCCGACATTTGCTTGTGTTTGACAAACCGAGTGCTCAGCTGTGGTGGGAGCCAAGCGAAAGGAAAGACGTACTGTTGAGTTTATAGCCTTACTACCATTTTACTTCGTTCATGGGCCCAAATGAGGAAATGTGAGGGTGGCTGGAGAGTTGGCTGACTAGCATCCATATGATTGATCATGTTGTTCAGTTGATAATTCAGACCACCCATTACAGAAGAGACCTATGGTAAAATATACATTCACATTAAAAAAAAAAGTCACAAACTGAATGCCAAGTGAAGCAGCCAGTGATTTCTTTTCCAATCCTTTTTCGATGCCAATGAACCAGTGTAGGTTCTCACCTCAGTCCTACTCTCCCAGGAAGCCAGTTAGTACCAGGTACTGCTTGATGGTTTCCTGTCCTCTGTCATTCAGTCACATCTGTCATATAGACCAACACCTCTAGCAGATCATTTTTACTTTGTGCCAGAATTTCAAGCATTGATACTTATAATATAGCTTTCAATAGTTTCTTTTATATGTAATTAGGGACCTTCCCAGGAGGTCAAAGAAAGGGTTAAGTGAGGGTAACAGAGGGATTAAAAAAGAACGTTGAAGAAAGCAGGCATTAAAGTGCTGGTTGGAGCACCCATATCTCCACTCAGAAGACCTGGTTCAGTACCCAGTTCTGGCTCCAAATTGAAGGTTTCTTTTAGTGCATACCCCAGGAGGCAGCAATGATACCTCAAGTTTCTTTCACTCATGCATCAGTTCTGGATTGAATTCATGCCTTCCCCACCCTAGGCCATTCTGGAATTTTCTCTATATCCTCCCTTCCCTAGTATCACTAGGTATTGTTTAAAACTTTTGTAGTTCGGTAATTTTTATATCACAATGTCAGCTGTTGTGAGCATCTTGACCCGGGCGGTTAAGTACAACTACTTGCTTTCTACCCATTATGATTTTGTTATCACATTTCACTTTAGATAGATGTGATTCCTGCACGAAAATAGACATATCAATGAGTGGAACAGATTTAAAACCTCAAAAATTAGTGCACACATCTACAGTCAAATAATCTTGGACAAACATGCTAAAATTGATC